CTGGAGTTCAGCCGTCACCGCCGCAAATATCTGATCATCACTCATCTGCGGAGGTGGAGCGATCACCGGCCCACTTGGACCAGTCATGTTCGCGCTCGGTTGCGTGTGCAGAGGGGTCCTTGATCCTACACCGCCGTGTGCTGATCTCTTGGGGGTCAATCCCCTTGAGTCAGGCATCGCCATCTCGCTGGGCCCTGTCGTCGTTTGGCCGCCCAACGGTAAACATCCTTCCCCATTAGCTGGAATACGCGCACCGGGAAGAGGTTCCACTCCCTTACGTGAATGATCCCCCGAAGTGCCTTCCTCCCCGGTGGTGACAACACCGTCCGAGAGTCCGCTGAAGATTTGCGGGCTGCGGCTGGGGGGACCGTTCTCGTCGCCGCCGCAGCGCTGCGCCGAGGGCTCCACCCCCTGCCCACGCCCCCCCGGGTCTGGAGGAAACGGCTCTCGTGGAGCCTCCCCACCCCCTACACCGCCATTGGTATCTTCCATCGATACACGACCACCACCCGTCGCGTCCGGGGACGCTCTCGCTAGAACGGACTCAATGTGGCTAGCCCGGGTCCTCAGTCAAATTTGCCCCGTGTGCAGCGAATTGAAGAGTGATCACGATTCGAAAGAACGTGCAAGGCATATGCCTGACGCTGATGGTGATGAGCTGCGTTGAGGAACTGGATCATGCGACACTGGCGTTGCTAATCTGCCTTGCGACATTCCAGGGGAGAGGCCAGACGGGGGAGTCTAAATACACCTAGCATTATTGCTAAATACACCGCCGCCTATCCATAAGACTTAACGTTTATATGGCAACCGTTGTCTTACATTCGGGCCACGTCTTTTCGAATATTACAGGATAATATAAGCTGAAAGGCACCTGAAACATAGCCACGTCAATTCAACAAGAAAATCTTCGTTGTCTAACGCATGGTGATGAGCCCTTCATCCACCTCCACTACTTCTGCTGCCACTGCTACGGTTGTTGATGCGGATACTAATTCTGTCGTCGCTGACAATCAGGGTAGGTTCCAAGTTGATGCTGGGCCTAGTCCTGCCGCCGATATCTCAAGGATCTGTGAAGAATCTCCACTGGTCGGGCCTTTTATCAGTCAAAAGAAGGCTGTAGAGGCTATTAGCAGGACGCCGTACGCTAAGGCTTTGCTATTAGTGTTTCCCGCGGCTGTTCGATTGGTCCCAAGCGCAGTTTTCTCACAAAATGACAGAACAAACATCATAGGAGATCCCACAGTCGGCACATGTAAAGGGGCACTATTGACTCGTACTGGTTGACCAGTACGGAGTACACTTCCACTGACAACAGTGGTTGACAGTGCCCTGCTAGGTGTTAAAGAAACACAGAGGAAGGAAAGGAGACTAAGTAGTCAGACTGGTCTCCAGTAAAAGTAAAACTGTATTGATATAAGTCCTATAACTCCTTGAATCTTCTGTTGTCCTGACTTAATTATACCAATATAACTAAATGTATGATGACGTCTACTCACCACCCATTGCGCGCGTCTAGCGGCGATTGGTGGGTTGATATCATCACGATATCAACCAATGAGTAGACCCTTCGGTCATCTCAACAATATCACCATGTCTGTGATATTGTTAAAAGAATATTCGACGTTATATTCTTTATCGTCATTTTATCCTTAGTGACAATTTCATGTAACGGGCTACCCCGTTACAGCACACGTCAATGCGAGATCGTGGAACAGAAAATGCCAACTGTTTATGCGAGCTCGTGATCATGTATGTTAAGCACGCCTCCGAAGAAATTGCCTGGTCAACGTTTTTAATGGACAACTGATACACCGGCCACTATCGTTGTATCAGGAAGACCATGCCCTCAGCGCCACCGGCGGCGCGACGTGCGACACGATAATTGACGATATTAATTATCAGGTAGTATAGATGCATCAGTATGGAGCTGCTCCACGGGTATGTGTGCGTGTTCAAGTCATATACAGCAGGCCATTATCTGTTTTTTGTCTGTATGTGATTCTTATAGGTTATTGTAAACCAGTTTGAGGAGGCCGATGTTTTTTAAATGCCAAGAATGTCCACAATATCTTTTAGAAGGCAAAGAGAAAGGAACTTGGTGGAAAATTACACACGGAAGCTTTGCTGCAGCACATGAAGGACCATCATATTTTATATACGGTTGCAGCGTTAAGCCGCGGGTGCATTTTTGATTACCTTATTCTATAATTTATTTGAACCAGCGTGACCTGGCTCCGTTTAGGGTGCATTTCCGATCAGCTTATCCTGCAATATTCGAAGTGAGGTGCCTGAATGTACTACAACGGTTGCCATATGAACATTAGGTCTAATGGATAGGCGACGGAGTATTTAGCAATAATGCTAGGTGTATTTAGCCTCTCCCAGGCCAGACGGCATCCAGTGAAATAGACATTGGCAGCAAGTGAGGCAGCAAGTGAGGGAGCAAGTGAGGCAGCAAGTGAGGCAGCAAGTGGGTTAAATTTACATATTTGGCCCTTTTGTGACCAGTGTCAACATACTAAATAGCTACCACCTCCCACCGTGCGCTCATTGAATCGTCTTGTTTTGTAGAAAAAGAACTATGAAAGTCTATATCTGACCAACTTCCACTTGTAAACCAGCCAGGATCGTTCGGGGTCAACAAGTGGGGTGGCAACGGTGATCAGGGTAGCGCCTGGGCTTCACAGTTCTACTGGCCCAGTGTAACGGGGCACCGGCGACTACGTACTGGTCTTACCAGTACGGAGTTAACTTTCACTGACAACAGTGAAGGTCAGTGCCCTGCCATGTATAACACCGTGTAGAGGAAGATAATCGACTAAGGTGAAGCATCTAGTCGTGGTAAAAATAAAACTTTTTATCCAATATAATTAAGTCCTATAACTCTTGTTTTCTGTTTGTCCTGACTAAATTGTATTAATATAACTAAACCAATGATGACGTCTACTCACCACCCATTGCGCGCGTCTAGCAGCGATTGGTGGTTAAATTGGTTGATGTTCACGGTACATCAATCATCAGGTGCAGCAACCCATCAAAAAAATATTACCCTCGGTCGGGGGTAATGTTCCTTCAACCTTACTCCTTACGGGTAATGTCAATTAAAACATTATCGAAATAGATAATGTTCAAAAACTGATACAAAGATATCAATTTTTATGAAACGGGCTCACCCCGTTACAGTTAGACATTGGTGGACAGCTGCGGTTAAAACTGTGGCTTTGTTACCTTAGCATCTCCTGCTTGCACACATTTTCACCAGTCCACTGCATATCATTGACCCCAGGGCGCTTGCTCATATAAATATCCAAATAGCAGGTACACCACTTTACCTTTGCAACCTAGCACTCTTTATGACGTGCACTCATCAGCAGCTTGAGCGCGACGGCGTATCCTCACTTGTTTCCCAGTCATCCTGCTAAACATGATACAGATAAGCCCAAAAGCAGTGTGTAGGTGCATATTTTCATCGTTTGTAGACATGCGCGTCGGTAAAGAATCACAAGACTGTCATGCTGAGCGAAATAGTCGACCGTTATCTTTAAATTCTTGTCCTGTGATCGCCTTCTAGATCCTGGCGTTGTCCACTGACCTGACAAACCCGGCCCGTGGCTTACAGCGGGGCTCGAGTCTAATGTAGTGAAATGGAGAATGAATATATTGAGGAGGAGTGTCAAACTTGGTAGGATAGTCTGGTGTAATCATATAAAAAGGCTGACACAATCTTCGTTCGTCTGGCGCAATCTTCTGTCGTCTAGCGCAATCCAAGGATGGTCTCGCAGGTCATGTAGATAGACCAACCATGTCAGACCCCTGAACATCAACGAAAACTGGTGACGCAGTTGTGTGCAAAACCAATTCGATTTAATCTTGTTCTGCCAGCAGGTGTACTCAGTCGCGGTAGAGCTCGTCAACTCTAACATATCGCCCTGAAGTTGCAGAAGAATTGATTAGCTACATGTTAGAGCGAAATTTAGAGCGCCGTAGGCGGATCACGGTCCTACCGTGTCCCGATGGTTTTGCTCCGTTGGTCCGCGTACATCCATAGGAATGCACTTGCGTGGGAGGTTACACATTGGATGCAATGCTCGGCTTTCGGGGGCTAGTTCGCCTCCTAATGAATCGGCGGGGACCCGGGCAAGGTCGTGGTTTCCTCATAAGTTTGATTGTGTTCTTTGAGCTTCTCTTAGTGTAGAATTTCGTGCAATGCACCGCTGTCATTTTGCCATCTGTCAAGACGTACACATATTACGACCCAAAAGCAACTGATTATTTATATTTGTGTAGTTGGAGATAGAGTTGGAGACAGATGGTCTTTCAGTTAGAGGTGATTAACGCGTCCCACATGCATGGCGCCTGCCTTCCTTTGCCGTGTCTATGAACAGAAAGTGACTCTGGTACACTTGAATAGCCGGTACATTCTGTCTGCGCTTGCACCGAAGCGGTGATAAAAAGGTATGTCAATGCGCTTCCAATCCTTACTGGCTGCCTCCGTGTTGACCGAGTCGTTTACTACACTTCCCCGAACATTCCGACCACGGCATCAGCCTTGTTCTCCGCTCTCTTTGGCTTGATGCACTATAGATGCGGCGTCAGAGAAGACTGATCGTGGGTTCACATACTGGTTTATGAACGCGCAAGTCACATCACCCAACGAAGGTTTGTTTGGCCGCGGATCATTGCCAAAAATGGGTGAGAGATCGAATCAGTGGACAGTATGACGCGAGAAAAATTGCAGTATTTGTTTGTGTCTCATTGTGAAACTCGTCCAGACCTCCTCACGAGCCAGTATGTACGTGCCCCACCATTTGCTCCCGATTGCTTGTGCAATTCTTAGTTTGGGAAAAAGTGCAGCATCAACGAACGCCAGCGGTCTCTAGGTCAACACTCTCCCGCTCAGCGTCACCACCGTACCTTTCCAGGACAATGCCACGTCCGTCTCGGTGGTCGATCGTGAAGGCCAAGAAAGCGAAGAGAGATTTCTACTGTTTTTTTATATGGTTTTTGCTGAGTTTGCGGAGAGGCTTCATTATTGGCATTTGAACCTTTTGGAGAGACTGAACGTGCATCCAAGTCGTACGCTGTCGAAGTTTGGCTTTAGCCCTACAGCCAGCGGTTTTTCGAATGGGGTAGACGGCCTGCAATGGCTTGAACATGCTGTCCGCTATCGATCAAAAAACAAGAAGAAGGGGAAAGAATTGACTGACCTTGAACTGTTCAAGCTTTTAAAGAAACGTCTAGTGCACGACGAAAACTTGCTAGGGGTTGCGGACCGTCTACGATTTCAAGATGAGAATGCGGCAATGAAGCAACTCTCGGTCGTGTTTTACCGAGCTCTGCTCAAGGATTGCTCGCCAGCAACCTCCAAGCTCATGCTCGATCACTGGCTGGGGTCCATGGTCGTGGTGCCAGACGATGTTTTCCTGGCCCTTGGAATCAAAGTGGAGGATCTCGTCGATCATCCAGCTGTTGTCTATCAGTGGCTGAGACACATTTCGGAATACAGGAAAGCTGGAAGCAACAAGTACACCGTCGAACAAATAAAAGAGAAGCTGGAGGGAGCATCTGAGGATCAAATTCGCAAGTTCGTCGACGAAGCTCTAAAGCAAGAAGACCCGGTCCTCGTCAACATGGTGAAAGAGGTGTGGGGAATTGAACGACCCGGTACGGTGACCGAAACAGCCGTTGCTACCTGAGTGATGCGTCGTATTCGAGGTGAGACGGCGTGTCGTCGACAGCACATCTCGACTTCTACAATAGATCCTCGGCTTAGTTAATGAAGTCGCGCGTCATAGTTTGGGGTAGATGCAATCGCTAAGCGTTGACCGTTCGATACATGACAAAAAACATTTCGTTATCAGTGTTGTTACGTAGGTGCTCTGTGCATCAGTGATTGAGACGGCAGCGACTGACACGATAAGTGACCGTTGTAGCAAAGCAGAACAGCTCAATGCAATTGGAGCTTCAGTGGTCACTCGTCGATGCGCATTGGCGAGAACGAAAAATGACATTTGAATTGTTTCAGGTCCCGCAAGTTGCTCCAGTGCGACATTCCAGCCCCACAATGCGTATCTCCTACGCCACCACGGCTGCTTGGTCCCCTCGGCGCAGTAGGAAATCATATTTTCGTGCGTGAAGTTACGCACGATCAATAACATGTTGGTCGTAAGAAAAACCTAACTGATAGGGTTGATGCTTTGATTCCAAAGTTACTGGTGCTGTTTTCGTAAGTGATTCAGCTGTAGAGGGCTTCCGGAAGAATTATGACACCACGTAAAATGATGAAGTCGTTTTCCAAACGAGGGCGACGCTGATGGTTCTTGGTTGATTGACCAGTTGCGTGGTGGGATCACCGTATGATTAAGACGTCTAGTGCGGATCATGTCGCAGGAATGATATGCTGCTCTGCGGTCGATAGAGCGTTGCGCCTCAACAACATTCTTGTCATTTTGACAGGCAGAGACTGCCACGTCTGCAAATGCGGGACGGCTCAGCGACTACGAAGTGTAGCAGTCACCGCACTTTGTAGTCCAAGATTCTACATCGGCAAGACATATGTTGCTGGACAGTCTGTACTCGTTGTAAGTCATACGCGACATGTGACGTCTACGCGTGTATGCCATATCATGACAAAATAGAGATAATTTGCTCTGTCGTCTGTAGCTACGACTCACGAGACGTATTTCATGAACGACAGACACACACCAATCATCGTCGCTGATTCGTATGCTCAGCCTGCAAATACGCCAAACGGCGGCGTCTCGTCTTCATCATCATTACGTCTTCATTAGGTATCAAAGGGAGTGTGTCGAGCCCAATGGAATCAAAACAACTCAGTAAAAACAAGTGCGCAAAAACAATCGTGTCGATACACTCAGTGGTGTGCAAATCAAACAGCGCTACCCGCCACCATACCCAAACCTAGTAAACGAGCCCCCTCTCCCCAACACAGGTGGCCCCGTATCGTCGTCGATCCAAAGCACACACACCCAGTGTAGCCATGTTCGAATCCAGTTTGACGCGCGATGGACAAGTTCGCGTACCCCGAGTACTACGACTTCCCGCCCTTCTTCACGCTCCAACCCGTGCGTGCGACGCGGGAGAAGCAACTCGTGCTGTGGCAGCAGCTCGTGCTCGAGTACCACCGCGCGCACGATGTACCCATCTTCCAGCCCTTCAGCTCGACGCTCTTTGAGAACGTGAAAATCTCGCGCAATATGGCGCCGGAGGGCCGAGCGGCTGTCGTGGAGCATCTGATTCGCTGCGGTCATGGCCAATGGGAAGACGAGACAAAGGCGCGGTGCCGACTCATGTGGAAGAAACCAGCCGAGTGGGCGGCTGAGGTGTACGACTTTGTAAGGCGTTTCGTGTCGAGTGTGTGTGTGTGTGTGTGTGTGTGTGTGTGTGTGTGTGTGTGTGGGTGTGATGGACTCATGGGGCGAACAGCAGACTCACTTTGGTTTTGGGGCCCATACTGGTCATAATGCCCAATGGCTGCACCAGGCCCAAGGCGCACGAGATGCTCGGCAATGTGTTTACGGTGTACGAACTGTATGCAGGAGACGAGACTTTGGGCACGAGTACGTAGATGGACATACGGGGACAGAGCGAAAGCGAAAAGAGGGGACTTGTCGTGGGTGTGACCGATCTGCTTGTTGTCGTGTTCTTGTTGGCCTGCAGATATCCATGGAATGGAGCCGTGGCTGCTTCGTGAGGCGCTGAAAGTGTTGGAAGGGGAGGGAAAGGTGGGTTGCTACAGTGTGCTTTTCAACACGGTCATCATTGTCTTGTCGTTGATGTAGGTGTGTTCGCTCATGCCGCACAATGTGATGTGCTACTGTGGGTGTTTGTTTTGGTGATGACGTTAGGCGGCGGTGATTGCTGGTGAAACGTGTGAAGAAGACGGCGTCAAGTTTCTTGCCACGGAATAGCTGACAGCTGAGACGCTGGGCTTTTGAGAATGATAGGAAGGAATTTTTGCGGGTTGCATTGAATGGATGTGGCGAAAGGATAACGCGACGCGACGAGAAGCTCATACGTTAACTGCGTTCTGTGTCAAACGTCGGCGGTTGTAGCGGAAAGTCTACCATGTGCTCCTCTTCGCAGCATCGAGACACGTGCAGCTTACTGCAACTAACGGTATTGTGTGCAGGGTAACAAGGAGAAAGATAAAGCTGGTGCACGAGAGGAACGTAGATGACACGCCGTCGACAAACATCGCCGTTTGTGTAAACAGCTCAACAACATTTGGTGCATATCTTAACTGCCCTGTTGCAGGATTGAAGGAAGCAGATGAAACTGGATGATTCGTGGTTTGTGTGTTGCGCGTATGCTGGATTTGCTGTTGTTCTCGCTCTTTTCTCAGCAACGGTTGAAGTGTTATGGCGAGTGCCACGTCGCAGCAAACATGAGCTCGAGGAATGTTTTACGGAGCTTATTAACGAAAAAGATGGTTTCCGGCATTGAGAAGCTAGCGGAGAAGATGAAGTTGACGTCGAAGGAGCATTCTGACGATGATCGTGGAGGTCAATCCGTGGAGCACTACGGAGAAGGTGGCAGTCAAGAGCACCACGGCAGCCGTCATGAGCACCATGGAGGAGGGAGCAGTCATGAACAGCATTACGGAGAAGGCGGCCGTCATGAGCACCGGAAAGGAGGCAGCAGCCACGAAGGCAAGAACAGAGTGGCAGCTTGCCCGGTGCTTATTGAGCGATCCGGTGCCACTCAGACAAGCAGATTTGACGGCAAACCTTTTCGAGTCACTATCGTCGCGAGCCACTGGTACGAGAAGGTGGTTCACTCGCTCGTGGATGCGTGCTCGAAAGAGCTATTGGACAAGGGCGTAACGGAGGACAACTTGCAGGTCGTTGAGGTGGCGGGCGCTTTCGAATTGCCGTTCACGGCTGCTCGTCTGATTGCGTCCAAGAACACGGGCCACCGCCCCGACGCTGTCGTCTGCATTGGTTGTTTCGTCGAGGATACCACGCGTACGTGCGAGACCATGAGACAAGCTGTGGCACATGGAATAATGGAGCTGAACGTCACGTCAGGTGTACCCGTCATTTTCGGTGTGCTCTGCTGTGACAACGCGTCGCAAGCCCACTCTTTCGCGGAAAAGCGATCGTGTTATGGCATTGATGACAACGAGAGATGCAACTTTGGCGTTTCGTGGGCACAGTCGGCGTTGCAAATGGCACATTTGAATCGCTGTACTTCTGCGAAAGAGATGGAGCACTGCAGCTGCTTTCGAAGTGAGGGCCGCAGCAGCGGAGACAACGACGAGCACAAACACAAGGGTCAGAAGCATGAGCCTGAGAAGAAGGAAAAGTGCACGTCTTGCGGTATGTCGGAGCAAAAGTGTTCCTGTACGGAATGCGTGTGCAAGGAGTGCTGCGATCATGGTGGGGCCTGCACGAGCTGCAAGTCGTCGGCGGACAAGTGCACGTGCAAGGACTGCAAATGCCGTTCGTGCTGCATCAGACGCGATGCGTGTCGCAGATGCGGATGTCCGCCGGGAAGCTGTTGCTGCCAAGGCTGTGACTGTGCTGTTTGCAGCGGCACAGAGGCGGGAGATGAGAAGACGAAGACAAGTGGGCAGTCTGCTGAGCACGCGACAACGAAAGCATCGGCGAGTGGGCATTCCAAGGCGGAACGTTCGTCCGGCGACGACGCCGGCGTGCATGTCAGCTCTACCAAGTGCGACCGCTGTGGCAACCCGAGCGGCGCATGCAAGTGTGGCTTGTTGCACTAAGCGTGAGGGGGGGCAAAGGGGTGAGATGAAGTCTGGTCGTGGGTGGTAGCGTTGGACGACGGAACGCTCTCAGATGCATATCCAACGAGTCGAGGAACTGACGAGAGAACGATGCGATTACTGAGGAGGACTAGCGTTGGCGAATTCGTGCAGCGGTGTGTATCGTGTCGAGGACGAGCGAATAACAACTCACAATGAATTGATGGTGCTGACTGAACCCGTTTGTGTTTGTTGGTTGCGTATGCGCCAAAGCAAGTACGTCGCCACGGAATGGCTTGTGCCCGACATTATCGAGTGCTTTCGCGTCTATTATGACGTGGTCCAATTCCTAGCAAACGGTTGTCATGCAGTACGTACTTTCACACATACACTTCAACGTGAACCGTCAAGCGGTGCGAACAATATCGTCCGACCGTTGCGAACGAATCGTCCGACCGTTGCGAAGAGGTCGCGTCGCACATGGGAACGACGTGAGAGCAGCACTTGAGGTCGCACACTGCAGAAGGCCCATCGAGGTCAGTCGAAAACCAAACGCCTCTCTCTCTCGCTCTCGCTCAGCGCAATGGCAGTTGGAACGACTACGAGTGTCAAGCACAACCTGAAGGCGGAAGCGACGGAAGGCGAGTCTCGAGGTCACCTGGACAAGCACCAGGTTCGAGGAACGCAGGCCGACAGTCGACCCGGTCGGGCTGCACACCACCGTGAGGAGGCGACGGAAGCCACGCCGGGGGGGTACCGTGGCGAGAGCTACGTGCAGATTGACCGCCAAGTCTCGACGGATCACGGCGCGTCGGAGGCCTCTCGCGGTGCCAACGCCCACGTGACCGAAAGCGGAGCTACCGGCGACGACGAACAGGCGGCTGGCGACCGACCGGCGACCGACACGCCGACTGAAGAGAAGGAACCAGCGGTCGAATCGGCCACGTCCTCGACCGTCGTGTGTGGCGGCGGCTGCGTTGCTGCCACGCAACGTGCAGCTGCTGGAAAGTGTCCCGCGTGCGAGTGTCCGGCCGCCGGCTGTCCCTGCACCAAGTGCGGGTGTCCTCTGTGCGGCCCCACGCAGACGGCGTCCACGCCGCTGCCCTGTCGCGGCGGCGACGACGCGCGCGCCCGCGCCACTGCCGGCACGTGTCCTGCGTGTGGCTGTCCAGCGAGCAAGTGCCCCTGCACGAACTGCGTCTGTCCGGTCTGCAAGTCGACGTGACCGCAGCAGCTCTGCTGACGACGCGACGTGGGTACGAAGTGGTTGTGTCTGTCTGCGGCGACCTGAGGCGGGGGAGCAGATGGGTGTGTCGTCGTCGACGTCTGCTTCGACGGGAACGGGACGCGGGCAGTCGTGTCGACAGCGAGTGAGTGAGTTAAGGAATGAATGAAGAAGCGGTCGTCGACGGTGTGGTATGGTACGTCGTTGCAGTGTTTATCGTCCGTCTTCCTGTGCTGCTGCTGCTCCGACGTCGTCGACTGCGTTACGTGACCTCATCGCCCAACGTCTGTCCAGCGGATACCTTCTCGACAGGTACTGAGTGCGACTTACCGACCGGACGCGCGACGGTCGGAAGGGCCGCTAGAAAGGTCCGATGGCTCGTCGACACGCTGTCTGTCTGTCTGTCTGTCTGTCCGTCGTCGCAGTGGCAGTGCCGCCGCACCATTTCGTCGCCCGGGACGTCAACGACAAAGAGCTGTGACTCGAGACGACAGACACCACGTGCAGTCGCTACGTGACGGCATCGACGCACCCGCTGAGCTCAGGGGCAGTGGCGAAGACGCCCGTCGCACACGTCGCGTCCACCGCCCGCCGTCGTCTCCCGGCCGTCACTTTCGCTCTACCGCTTTATGACGACACGCGCAGCCGCTACAGAGCAACAGCCGCCGCAGCAGTCGGCGTCCAGCGCCGCGTCGACGGCTCTTGTGGTGAAACCCACTGCCGTTGACCGGTCGCTCGGCGCGCGGCAGTCGGACCTCGAGCTGCATCTGCTGCAGACGTTCGCCGCCTTTGCCGGCCATCGACTCGCGCAGTCGTATCGTTGGCTCAAACACTCGTCGCGCGTGACGCGCTACGTGGCCAACGCAACGGAACGAGTGGTCGTGCGCGCGGGTCTGTTGACGCTCGCGCAGCTGCTGTTCCGACAGTATGTGCGACTCGGCCATCCCGTCGTGCAGCACGTGGACGACGCCATGGGGAAGCGCGTGATCGACGCGCTGGTCAGTGTCCTGATGCTCACGGAGCCGCAGCAAACGCGGCACGACAGTGGGGCGGACGTCCTGACGCTGGAAGCTGCGGCTTCCAAGCGCGTCAGCGATCACGAGAAGAGCTGTCACGACGACGACACCAGTGGCTTCGAGGAGCTCGTAACGGGCGTCAAGTTGACGTACGCAGAGCGGTTCCAAGCGCTACTGCGGGGCGAAGTGCCGCGAATGGAGCAGGCGCTGGTGCAAGCACATCGTCGAGCTCAAGTCCTTGTGCTGGAGAAAGAGGAGGAGGAGGAGGAAGCGCGTGCGCAAGCAGACAAAGCGGCCGCGCGGGAAGCTGAGCCGCCCATTGTCATGGAGCTCAAGGACTTTGTGCCGCTCGACGAGGTGGTCCGTCTCCAGGACGAGAGCAAGGGACAGCTGCAGGAAGCCGCGCTCGAGACGGCGCGGCTGCGTGCCCAGCTGACGGACCTCGTCCACGAGAAGCAGCGGCTCGAGCAGCGACTGACGGACGTGCACAACTACCAGGAGAGCGAGCGCGGGCGGCTTTTCCAGGACATGGAGGAAGACCTCGCGCGCACCAAACTCGAAGCGAGTCAGAAGGCCCACGACCTCCGCGCCCTCGAACTCGTCGTGGAAGCGATGCAGGAGCGCAAGCGCCTGAAGAAGCGAAAGAGCAGGAGCCGCAAGGCCACCACGAGCCAGTCGAACGCGTCCGAGGCCACGCTCCCGTCGCCCCAATCCGAGCGAAAAGCTGCGACGCACCACCAGCAGCAGTAACGGCGTCAGTCGTGGCGTCTCGACTGCAGCATTTGCATCCAACAGCTGCCAACTCTACAGCTCAACACGTAAACAACGAAAGGCTTTGGCGGGCAGGTGAATGTGTCGCTGAGCGGAGAGAGAGAGATGGAGCTCTCTCTCTCTCTCTCTCTCTCTGCTCTGTGTGTATGTAGTTGCTATTGGTTTCGTTCCTCCTCCTTCTCCCTCCTCCTCCTTCTCCTCCGAAGAAGTCGGCGCTCCTTCTTAGCTCGAGATCCCGACCACACCGAGCGCCGTGAGCGCTCCAGCGTTCCCGTTCTGGAGCGAGAGGTCGTGGCCGCCCTTGCCGAGGTCGTCCTCGTTCGCGTGGACCACGAGGCTGCGGCCAATGATCGAGTGCGGGCCAATGAGCTTCACGAGCGCGTCTTCCACGTGCACTTTGGCCCGGCCATCGTCCCCTACGTCAATGTTCCCCAGCGATCCGACGCAGCGCTCGTCGTCGGTGGGGGCGCCGTGCGTTTTGCCAAAGGGGTTAAACACGCCGCCCGCGTGCGAGAGGTCCCCAAAGACGTTCACGTGGAGCGCGTGTTTGCCGGGCGAGAGCCCCGTGAGCTCCCCCGTGATGATGCTCTTGGCGTCCTCATGTGCCTGGGTGATGGTGAGCGACCCGTACACGGTCGCGTCGGTGCCGTAGAGCGTGCACACGGCTTTGGCCATGGCGATCGAGGGCTCGAGTTGAGGAGTGGCGCGCTGGACGCGTGAGCACCAGTGGTTCAGGGAGCGTATCACCCAAACCCATTGGTGGGATAAATGACGGGACGAGAGGAAGTGCGATTAAAACCATGGGTGATTTCGTGCTGCTGACGGTCGGCCACTGGGTCAGGTGGGGTTGATGGGAAACGGGCGTGGGTGGGTGCTGTTCGGTTTACTGGTGTGGCAGACGCTAACGTTCGCGTGGGACATTCGTAGCGGGTACATTGATTCTGGATACTATGCAGGCAACTGCCACGAGTACCTTTAGTAGCCATCGTGGACTGACTGGGGCGTTTGATAGCGGTCCGACGACTGTTTTCCGGGAGGCAGCAAAGTGTTTCTGGATGGTTTAGTATGAATGCGTCGCGTGGCACGTAGAGCGATATGCGTTGGGTTTCCCTCGAACTGCTTGAGGTGAAAGATATCTGATGGATCCTTTGACCGCGGCAGACGTTTGCCACCGTGAGACCCGAGAGCTGATCGTGGCTCTCTACGACATCGTTCGCTCAAAGGCGTCTGCGCCGCGTTGCATACAAAAGGTATCAGTAGCTGTCGAGAACGACGTGGTCGAGTGCTACAAAGTGGCAAAGAAGAGATCGACTGATACCGCATGGGGTCAATGACATTGGTATCGGACTGGATCCATCTCGCAAGCTCCAGTTAAGTTGTAATGAGTTTATAGCGAGCGGCGGAAACGGAACGCAGACAACACACATACTGAGAACCGCTATCGGTACACAGCAGTGGTCGAGTGAGTGTCAGGAGAAGTCGAGCGACAGAGTCATCTCAACATGAGATCGAACTTTATTGTCTCATAGCTAACGGCGCAGGTCACATCAACTCGCCACTTCTTGGAAGCTGTCACCCATTCTTCACCATAACGTTCCAACTGTCAAAGGAATGGCTTACCAGCAATAGCGGAGTAGCAAATGGCGGAATATGGTAGCAGCCAAACGCGAACGGAACGCGTTCTCTTGGTGTTACGTTGACCCTCACGCATGGACGTTGTTATATTTCGAAGACTACATTGACGGATAACGACAACGATCTCGTGTCGCAACCCGCATGGATTTGCCTGCAAGGCGTTAACGTGGACAGAGAACAACGGAGAAACAAACGTGTGCGTCACTGCACAGTGTCCTTGTCACTTATGGAGATACTTGCTCATCGCAGTGATCTGTGTCGAACATCCCACAACGCAAAGCTGTGAATCAGTAGTCTGTCGAGTGAAATGGCCTCGGTCAAGTGCGTTACCCAGTCCCTCTCGCTGCTAGTGGCAGCTTCCACTTTGCACGAGAGATTGGCCACTTCGTCTTGGTGCATCTCCAGCTCTTGCTGTAGCGACTCGACCGAGTGCTGCTGGTACTTTTTCATCTGTGCCTCCCGATCTTGCAGACGCGAGAGCTCTACCTGAAGTCTCTGAAGTCGCATCGTTTTGTGACGACTTATCTCCTGCGTGTCAGTATCCCATCGTTAGCATTGCGAGCAATGTACGTACACCCTGGTGCACCTTCGTGTTCATGTTACCTTTTTGCGCTTACGATACCGACGCGACGCCGTCTGCATCTGCACCTTTCGTCGAAGTTCGTCGAACTCGGTCGCGTTCATGACGAAAAGGCGTCGACCGCTCGACAATACGTTCGTATCAACGAATTGGTGACAGGTTGTGCGTGAGCTTTGACATGGCAACGGTGAGTCCCTCAGGCTCTCGTGAAGTACTGAAGCGGGAGGAGATATCGGGATCGCAATGACTGCACTCGGATCGCTCGTCGCATCCGGTGCTTGACCAGGAGGTGACATGTTTCGAGGTGACTTCGGTGCAGGCGCAGCATCGATCGCGTGCGAGTCGCCATTGCACGATTGCGAGTCGGCGCCGAGTCTAGTGTGGACATTCATGGGACAAGAACGACAACTTAGTATGGTAAGCGCTCGCAGGACAACTTGCGACTCATCGTCGATGATTGTCAAGCAGGTTGGTTTGTCGACGTCTTTCTCGGTGGACCTACATTGCATGCCGTGTTGGTCCCGCGTGATCAGGTGCTGCGGTGCTTGGCTCCAGCTCTTGCTTTTCCGCGTACTTCCCTTCCTCGCAGGTCACTCTTTCCATCACTTCATCCGTTCTTGATTCCATCGCCACTTCAACACTAGCCAAGTGATCCTTCTTGAGCATCACTCGATCGTCGTGAACGTCATCGCAATCGTCAGAAGCCGCCGGGGAAGGCACTTCACATTCACCACAGGGGCTTCCCGCACGCAGCAACTCCAACACCTCCTCCATCATCATCCGATCGCACGGAGTCGTGCCAAAGATGTCGTGTAGTCCTTGCCACGACATGCACTTGTTAGCAGCGAAATGGAAGACGAATGATGGCGAACAATGAGCGAAAGCTGCTTTGCGTCGCGGAATCTGCGACGAGCTCAACGGCTAAGTCGTCATCGAGTCGTCAGTCGCATCTTTTGTCTCGCAACGAGTTGCAGATTACGAAGCTGCAGTTTGGAAGCCACAGACTTCGTGCGTAGGTTGGAACTTAGCTGCGACCTTTCCAAGCATTTGACACGTGTGCGACATACACGTACCAAGATTCCTGTTCCATTATCCGGTAAGCGAAGACTCTCATGTTCGTTCACGCGATGCCGTTGAGTGCCGAGATCTCCACCAGCTTTCCATCTTTTTGTTTGCGACGAACGCTGTAGCAGAATTCGTAGACGGACTATATGGCAGTCGCAGGTACACACGCCCATAACCTCGCATCAACACGGTCTCTGATCCAAGAAATGTGTGCATACTGCAGCTGGTCGCTTGTTACAGTCATTGCAAACGCACCGCTTTATCAGGAAACGCCTTCCGGGGTAAGGCGCGACCGAGGGAATGTCAACACGAAATGAAGTCGAAGACGTTGTTCCATTGCTCGAACAATGGCCAAGTACAGTGTCGTACCCAACATCGCGCCATGTTAGCACTCAATAGAGTAGACAGACAGACAGACAGACAGACAGACAGACAGACAGACAGACAGACAGACAGACAGACAGACAGACAGACAGACAGACAGACAGACAGACAGACAGACGACAGACAGACAGACAGACAGACAGACAGACAGACAGACAGACAGACAGACAGACAGACTCTGATCATCACAGCTCCTTCGTGTCATCTGTGTATCGCCTTCGATACCTCTGCACCGAGTCGCGGTCTAGTCTGTAGACTTCATTTGCACATCCTCACCCTGTAAATAGAAAACTGCTACGGCCCAGCAGGACCATAAGCGGCGGTACTCTCGCCTGGTAACGGAGTGTGCAATTGATGCAGCGATGTCTGAGACGCGCGTTCTTTGTCGGTCGTGCTCTTCGCGAGCTCATCGCCAGCAGCAACAGCACCAGGTGTTGCCACTTGAATGCAGTCGACAGAAGCCCAGCCAACGTCGTGGTCCAACAGGTCCAGCGACTGCGCATCGAGATTGCGAGCTACGAGCGTCTTGCCAGCATCTCGATAGCGCACAGCAGCTTCACGCAGCGCTGCAACAGCCGAAAAGTCACCCAATGTGGAGTTGCGCATGTCCACAATAACGACGTTCGGGTCATGCAGCACGTCAAAGAACTCGCGAAACGAAGCCACGGAGGAGAAGAGAAATGGGCCGGTCACGTAGTACAGCTTGGCCACTTCTTGATGCGTGCGCAGCTCGCTGTCGATGCAAGTGCTGACAACCGACACAACTTCCGTGTCAGTGTGAAACGCGAGCTTGCGGCCGCTCTGCCAGCTATTGACGAGGCACTGCCAGATCACGCCAGCGATGACTGCAATGGCGAGGTTCGTCGCCGCAGCTAGCACAGTCACGAGGACAATGGCGATCGTGTCTTCGATCTTGGCGCGGAAGATGAGCATCAGCGATGGCCAGTAGAACGTGTGGATGACGATCACGAAGAGGATACCCGTAAGACAAGCGACGGGCACGTGCTCAATCACCGAACTTGCAAACAGCACGACCAGGAAAGTCGACACGCCGCCCACGAACGCCGAGAGACGATACCGACCGCCGTTGAGCACGTTTCCATTGGACTGCGCGATCATGGAGCAGCCTCCCATGCCCGAGAAGAAGCCACACAAAATGTTGCCAATGCCCTGTGCAATACACTCTTTGCGCGTAGCTTTTTGCGACAGCTGCTCCTTCTTCAGATCCACGACAGACTGCAGCGTCATGAGGGACTCAAACAGTCCGACGGCCATGACACTCGCTGCTGTCGAGAGCACAACGCCCCAGTCCTGCACGTCTTGGAACGCAGGCAGCGCAAAGGGCGGTAGCCCACCGCTGAGCGGCGACGTGTCCCCAATCGTCCGCACGTCGTACCCGAGCAGCGGCCGATTGAGGCCAAACTCGAAGCCGACGCCCACTACTGCTGCAACGAGCGTGGGCGGGACGCGAGGGCCCAGATACGGCACTTTGGGGAAGTAGTGCATGATCGCCATGGTCAGCAGCACGAGTCCGATCGTGACCCACGTCGTGGGAGACGCGGCGGCCATCCACTTGAGGTCCCCTGCAACTTCACACGCGCCAAAGCTCGAGCCGTCGTCGTGCGCGCACGTTTGGATCGTAGTCTTTTGCGACAGGAACATCATGACGGCGAGGCCGTTGAGGAAGCCAATGTGAGCCGTGCGCGGGATCATCGCAAAGAGCGTCGAGAGGCCCGCGAGGCCAAAGCCGAGCTCCAAGACGCCCGCGAGCGTCACGGCGACGAACAAGTGCTCGCGCCGCTCGTCGGGCGTCAAGTGGCCCAAAGCGCCCGAGCTGCTCGTGATGGCGGGCAGGACCATTGCAATCGCGCCCGCGGCCCCGGCCACCGTCGCCGGTACGCCGCCCAGCAGACTCACAGTGAGGCCGAGGAGGCCCGTGGCGTACAGGCCGTGCACGGGGTCGACGTTGGCCGCGTAGCTGAACGCGACCGTCTCGGGCATCATCAGGAGCATAGCCGCGACGCCACAGAGGACTTCGCGCTGGCACGTGCCGACGTGGCGCCTGTAGTACGTGCAGGTTGAAGTTGCCGCCGTGCATAAACGGGACAACCCGACCGTTTCGGTGGTCGATTTGCGACAGGGCGCACGCCACTGGCGGCGGAGCGTTGCGGCGAGGCGACGCCCGCCGTGACCAACACTCTCGTCCCAATAGGTCCACACTTTCGAGCGCGGTGAGTCGCGGGCGGCGAGTGTGGTGTACGTAGGGAAGAAGGGACGACGTGCCGCTGCAGATGTAGGCGAGTGCGTGTCGCTGGGACGAGACAGGTCGACGGCGCTCGAGGAATAGGGGGGAGGCGGACGACGACTCGTCATGACGGCAGGGCCGCGTGGGGCGGAGGAGAGCGTGCGGCGCGATGGCGTGCACGGGATGGATGGAGGGGAGAGAGGGCGCGATGGCGTGTCGCAATTGTGCAGAGAGAACTGGCGTTGCGGAGACTGATCTGATTCAGGTCGTGAATGCATGCGTGGAAATGATTGATCTATTTTTGTGTGTATGTACGTATGTATGTATGTATGTATGTATGTATGTATGTATGTATGTATGTATGTATGTATGTATGTATGTATGTATGTATTTCAATGGCTTCGGATTTATACAAATCGGTGCACGGATGGTGGTGGTGTCAAGTACGTCCATTATTATGATAACTAACGACTGATAAGTGTGACAAGAAGTACGGCCCGGGTATCGGGTCGACAACTAAAGGGCTCCGTAGAGCCAGGGGCGACGGCAACGAGGTCAGAGACCCTCCTACCGAAGCCAACTACGAGTCAATCATGACCGCTGGCGCGACCAAGTAGACTGGGGACATGCGTACCGCCGGAGCGGCAGCACGGACAACGCGGGTATGCTGCCATATAAGGCAACAAACCCCTTTCGGTGCACGGATGGTTGTATTTCCCATTGCGACGGCGTGATTTAGTTGTGTAGGGACGTATATTGCAATTAGTCGATGTATTTCTTGATGTGATCGATTGCTTGATGGTGTCACGTCGGTATTTGGCTCGCCAACACACTCGATTTTGACGTTACGTGCGTAGTTTTGTAAGACGGTCATGGCGCGACTCGGTGTAAGTCTATCAATGACAAGCACTTGCTCGGAAAAAGCAAAGAACCACTTTTGCCAGACCTCTTTCTGCCACCACACTTCCGCCTGCACACGCATTGAGGATCAATCATCGACATGTCGTAGTCATTGTCGTCAATGTATATCAGGTCCACATCGTTTGTCCCTCGACTTGGCGCAATGACACTCTCTAGCGTACACTTGATCGACTTTGTATCGAAAAGTCGATACAAATGCGTGTTTGACCCCACAGTCGATCGATCGATCGATCGATCATCACGATGGCAACGGTCCCATTTTCGTCAACTCCATTTGCCTCTCGAAAGTTAATACATCCCAACCTCCCACTACCGTCTCGCCACCGTCTTCCGGTACGATCGATCCCACGCGTCCACTAGCGTTACTTCACACGACCCCTTTCGAGCTATGGCGACCCACTACGGCCGCCATCTCGAGCGGCTCCAGCGCGGCGAACACCTCGAAGCCAACGCGCTGCTGGCGCTCTGCGAGCGCGTCAAGGACCTGCTGGTCACGGACGACAACGTCGTGCGCGTGGCGTCGCCCGTCGTCGTGTGCGGCGACCTCCACGGCCAGTTCGACGACCTCCTCGAGCTCTTCAAGTTGTCCGGTCAAGCGCCCGAGACGAGTTATGTCTTTCTCGGGGACTTTGTCGACCGCGGCGCCATGAGCGTCGAGACGATTTCGCTCTTGTGCGTCCTCAAGGCCAAAGATCCCGACCGCGTGACGCTCTTGCGCGGCAATCACGAGTCGCGGCAGACGACGCAGGTCTACGGCTTCCAGCTCGAGTGCATGAAGAAGTACGACGGCGACGCGCGCATTTACAAGTGCTTCATGGACCTCTTTGACTTCCTCCCGCTTGGAGCGCTCATTGACGACAGCCTCTTGTGTCTCCACGGCGGCCTCAGCCCCGCGCTGCACCACTTGGACCAGCTCCGGATGCTCCATCGGTTCCAAGAGATCCCTCCCGACGGGATCTTTGCCGACATTGTCTGGTCCGACCCAGATGCCAAGACCTTGGGCTTTCATATGGTACGCCCACGCACACGTGTGTCGGGTTCTGTGTCGTGTGTCTTGTCGTGTCTTGTGTCTCGCTCGCTCGCTCTCGTCAACCGACCGATAGCTCATTTGTGCACTTGCTGCTGCTGCTGCTACTGCTGCTGTTTGTTTGTTTGTTGGGACAGTCACCACGAGGAGCTGGATACATTTTCGGCGAAGACGTGGTCGAGAAGTTCTTGCACACAAACAAGCTCGCACACATGGCACGGGCGCACCAGTTGTGTATGGAGGGATTCCAAGTGCTGTTTCGAGAAACGTTCTCGACGGTCTGGAGCGCACCGAACTACTGTCACCGGTTCGGCAATCTCGCGGCAGTCATGGCCATTGATGATCACCTTGAGGTACGTACGTACGTACGTACGCACGTCTGCTGAACGTGCTGAATGCGTGTCGGAATTGTAGCTTGTGTTCTGACCGTAGCACACTGGTCTGTTGTTAGCGCACATACAAGACGTTCAAGGAGGCGGCATCGTCCCGAAACATTGGCGTGCTGGACAACAAGGGCACCACGAGCTCGGACGCTATTGACGCAGGTTATTTCACGTGAGGTGAGAAACGTGATGGAAAGCATGATACAGACAGACAAAGAGGTCAATAGATTTTGTACGGTAAGCTCACTGACCTCAGGTGACGTAGGGCGTCATTGCTTAATGGTGACGCCGCTTCTTTTCCTTGCGGTTCTTCGCACGACGCTTATGGTCTTTCTTCGCCTTCTCGTAAGCGATGGCGATCTGCTCCATTGTCTTAAGGCGCAGGGGCTTCATCTTCGACTTCACGCACTTGTCAATTTCAAGCGCGTCAAAGACAACCAGCGAGTCGGGGTGATTGTAGAGCTGGGCATTGCCCACCATGAGATCAAAGTCGCCCTCAAACTGTTCGTGTGACGCATAGAAGTAATCGTCAAGGCGCGCCTTGATGGTGATCAGGTCCATCGGGTGCTTCACGATCGTATAATAGTCGGGATAGTCCACCGTCGAGGGCTTCTCCACGTACAGATCAGATCGTAGGCGTCCCGTAGGGTCCTTGAGTTTGACAACAGCATCATAGATCTTTCGGTAGTAGTAGCACAGCATCTTGCGCTCACGCCTCGATGCCTCGTCCTCCTCATAACGATTGCCCGTAGCCTCGACAGCAGCGACCACAACATCTTCGTCTACGCCGCGTTTCCGTTTACGGTGCGTGCTTTCCTGAAAACTCTTCGACGCCAACTTCATTGCCTGATCATCGACGCCGTCCTCACACATCTTGACAAACTCTGCATCTGTAAATTGATCCCGGTACGACATTTCCTTGCGCTTGCGAGGTTTGCCAGAAACGGCATCCACGTCAAAGTTCCAAGCATCCTTGTCGTGCTTTCCCGTTGCAATGTCGTGCTCCATGATTTTGTTGGCTTCGCGCAGCCATGCCGGAGCGTCGTTCTCCAACATCAGTCGAGAACGGGGCGTGTGTGGAATATTGTACTGCCGACAATACTCGTCCCATTCTTTTGCCTCACGGCTTACGCGCTCAGAGTCTAGTCGTTGATACAAAGCGAGTTCCTCATCCGTCAACGCCATGATTTCGTTTATCTCGTCATCCATTAGGACGGTCGAAGCTTCATCATCACCAGTAGCGGCGTGCGCTGCTTCCTCTTGCTCCATCTTGATGAGGCTCTCAAGCATCGCGCGTCGCTCTGCCTCCTTCGAGCGATTGTTGAACTTGCCGGCTTCCACGACAAGATTGTTCATATTCATCTTGTCTGTCGCACGCGAGAGAATCTTCTCTTCCACGGGGCTGTTCGTGACAAGCCTAAAAACACGCACTTCGTTCTTCTGACCGATACGGTGGGCACGGTCCTGAGCCTGCGCGTCCATGGCAGGATTCCAATCGCTGTCGAAGATAATCACTGTGTCTGCTGTCGCGAGATTCAATCCGAGACCGCCGGCACGCGTACTCAGGAGGAAGACAAAGAAGGGCGAGTCCGGCGCGTTGAACATGAACATTCGTTGCTCACGTTCGTCAGCACTCGTCGAACCATCTAGGCGAAGATAACGGAAGCCACGGTAGTTGAAATAGTCCTCCAGAACGTGCATCAACTGCGTCATCTGGCTGAACATCAACACGCGGTGACCGGCAGCCTTCAGCTTCGGCAACATGCGATCGAGCAGCTCAAACTTGCCTGATGAACGCACGATGTCAAAGTCAATCTGGTACCCATTGGTCTGGAAAAGGTACGGGTGGTTGCACACCTTGCGCAGCTGCATAAGCACATTCGACAACCCCTTAGATGTGTACTTTGCCTTTCCCTTCGCTTTGCCCGTGTTATCCGTTGTTTCCATAAGAAGTGCGCCTCCTTCTTGAATACGACGGTACATGATTTTCTGCCAGCCCGAGAGCTCACATTTCAGCACCTTCTCCACTTTGTCAGGAAGTTGGTCAAGAACAGAAGCCTTCACGCGGCGCAGCAGGAAAGGACGCAAGACCTGGTGCAGCCGGTTGATCACAAGCATGCGCTCTTCGTCAGACAGCTCGTTCGAGTCGCCGTTGCCGGAGAACTGGGCAAACGGCTTACTAAACCATTGCTCAAACGTATCCACAGACTCGAAAATTGTTGGCAGTAGGAAGTTCAAAAGTGCCCACAGTTCAGGTAGGCTATTCTGTAAGGGCGTGCCCGTCAGTAGCAGCCGGTTACGTGAAGTGTACATACTTCCAAGAGTCATGGCAAATTTGCTTTGAGCATTTTTCATGCGGTGCCCTTCGTCCACAATGATGTACTGCCAGTCGTACTTACGCAGCACGTGCTTGTCTTTCATGATGTACTCATACGTTGTCAGCAGTACATTGAACTGACACGACGCCATCTCCAGCTTGTGGAGGTCTTTGCGCACCTGAGGAGGTCCCTTGTACACCACAATGACGAGATCGGGCGCCCACTTCTTGAACTCATTCACCCAGTTCGACAAAGTGGATAGCGGCACCACCACGAGAAACGGACCGTGATTGTGTTTGACTTCTGTCACGTACGTGAGCAGCGAAATGGACTGTATCGTCTTACCCAGTCCCATTTCATCGGCCAAGATGCCGTTCAAGTGGTTGTCATACAGAGAAACCATCCATTGCAAGCCGCGCAGCTGATACTCCTTCAGATCACCACCGACAAGCATGAACGGCTGCCGCGGCAGCTCGCCTTTCGACGCGATCTCAAGATAATTCAGATCGTCGTCCTGGTCGTCGGTACTAGTATCCTTTCCGTCTTCATGGTGCGCGTCGTATCGTGCCGTGAACTCATCGACGACGTGGTGCTTTCGTTTGTGCTGACGCACCAATTGACGGATGCTGTCCAAATAACTGTTCGTCTGGCTCAGCAAGTATGTCAAGCGCTCATTCTTGGCCTCGGCTACCAACTTGCCATACGCTTCCATATCGTTCGCTTTCAGTGCCTTAAGACGCAGTTTCTCTTGACGGTCTTCCTCGCGCTCGGCCTTTGACGCACGCTGATCGATTATGGCCTTGACGGACTTCGAAAACTTGCTCACCTGTGCCTTTACATTCTTGTGGTACGCAAAAAACTCGCGCGAGTGGTTTAGTATAGCCTTCAAGTACATTTGATGGTCCGCCCGCCGCTTTTTTTCCATCGCGACAGATTTCTTGCGCTTCTCCCGCTCGTCACTCTGCAGTTCGACGCGCAACACTGGCCGCCGGCGTCGAAACGACCGACGATCGACTGCAGACGGCTCTCCTAGCAGCGCCAGCCGCGTTGCATGCGCTTTCGCCACATGACGGCGCAGCTTTTGCTGCAGCAACACACAGCGCAGATCCCTCAGCGTGCGTTGCTCGTTCTCATCCAGCTCTCCATGATAACTCTCCATCTTCTCGAGACTCGACGTCAGAAACTGCTGCAACGTCTGCATGAACCGCACCTTTAGTGCCACGTCGTTCAGTCCGAGCGACGGCGTACAGATATTGTACGGCCCAACGCCCGCTTGGCTCTTGTGCTCAATATTAATGAGGTCTCCATCCAGATACTTTGGACCAATGTACAGTAAGTTACGAGCGGCGCGCGTCCACTTTGGCGTAAGGAGCTCCAGTACAGCCGGATCGGCCGTCGTCGCCACCGCCTCGGGACCAGTAGCTACAGCAGCAGCAGTAGCAGCACTAAACACAGCACTAGCAACAGGAGCCGTAGTAGGAGCAGCAGCAGCAGCAGGAGGAGGAGCCATTGCTCGTGACGTGCTGTCCGCAGCAGCGTCCACTTGTTTGGCCTGGGCAATCGCTGTATCCATCGAGTGACACAGCGCTTTGTACGCACGGATCTGATTATGCAGGTATTCCAGCTGTTTTTCCGAAAAAATCGTGGGTTGTTTGTGCTGCAGGAACGGGTTCGCCGCCACGTCGAGTGGCGCGGGCGTCTGAGTCGACGGCATCAGATTCGCTGCTACCGCTGGGGACATCTGAGTCGGTGGCGGCGGCTGGCGCTGCCGCTGGTACTCGCGCAGCAGCGCAACAATCTGCTGGTACTTCGGGTGGCTCTTCTGACCCGCGCGCTGCATGCGCAACGCCACGTCCATCAGCTTCTTCACATCTGCCGGCGTCAGCGCTACGCGCGGCGCTGGGGACGCGCTCGCTGAGGATGACTCCATTGAGGTTTTTTCCGATGAAACGGGTGGCATCAAAGTCACTTGCTTTCACTATGGACAAAGACTTCGAGGTGAGCCCAAGTGAGGTCAAACACGTTCGTGTGGTGCACACAAGTTCGTCACGACAGACACCCGCCCGAGTCGGGATCACATGCGGTACAAACACGCACTCTGTAAACATGTGCACGAGATACGCTCGCGGTGTCTGTATTGCTCGTTTGCCCCCAGCCAACAAAGTGCTTTTCTCGCCGTCGCTCGGCGTCCCTACTCTACGAAATGGACGCCCGATCAAACACGTGAAGCGGGAGCGACTTGGTCATGAGCCGGAAATACGCCAGTTCCGAGTCCGTGGGGTCGCCTGCAAGTCATGACACACATCACCGACACACAACCACATGAGATATCGCGATACGTACGCTGCGTGTTGCCAGCAGCGAGCGACATCGACAGTACTTGGACCACACACGTACCGAACATGAAACCCATTTGGTTGTAGTACGAGATGATGGCAACGAGTTCCTCGGGCGAGTACGTGCGCATGGTCGAGCGGATCTTGCGGTAGTCCACCTGCTGCTTGAAGTGGACCTTCGTGGGAAAGTTCTCAGTCGTGGCAGCGACAAACAGACCGTTCTTCAGCTTGCGCGACTCGTCATAGCCCTTTGCACCAATGTCCTTCAGAGCAGCGATCACCGAGATATCATCAGCCGCGACGTCCTTTCCTTCGTAGCCGAACACAGTCGGCTGGAACCACGTGTTGTAGTCGTCGATGGCGATCAGCACAGGAAACTCCTCCGTCTGCGCGAGCTCGTGTTTTAGATCGCACACGGCTTGGCACGCCAGCTCTTCGTCCCGGATACCGCACACAACCACATCACGCAGCGTCAGGGACGTATCCGCGAGGTCCGCGGTGCCTTTCGGCTTGGCTTTGTGCTTATCCGTGCTGTAGTAACGGTCAGCGTACTTGCCACGCAGCGGGATCGACCGCAGCTGCTCGCCGTGACAGTGCAAAAACTTCTGCAGCAAGTCCACGCCGTAGACGTCGATATCAAACTTGCCCTCCTGATACGGCGACTGCATCACATACGGAGCCTCGTGGCACCACGACCGTGGGTTTGGAATGTAGAGCACGACCCACTTGCTCTCGCGCGCGAATTGCACAATCTGGTGCAGAGCAAAGCTCTTGCCTGCACCGCGCTCCCCATCGATCAGAAACGCACCGACGGCATCGCTGTCCTTGGCTGTCGTCTCCCAGTCTACGGACACGTACGCACACACGCTCGCATCAGTCTACAAACAACGGAACAAGATGCACAAACAAACCGCTTCGCACAGTAAGGCAAGTAGCGTACCCTTCATAGTCGATATAATCTGCAGCGTCGTGTCACGCAGCATAATGTGGCGGTGGCCCACGAGGTCAAACGTGTATTCCATGCGGCGGCCAACACCTTCAGGGAAGAGCTCGTCCAGCTGCTCCTTTGCAAACGCAAAGAACTTGAGCCGATCGGCCTCCGTCGCCTAATGCATACAGTGCCGCACATTGCAGTGCTAACGTCATCAGTGTTCAGACCTTCTTCTTCGCAGTTGGGAAAAAGGGCATTTTGTGTGCGTGCATCCAAACAACAAGTACCTGTGCAATGGGTACACTCGCAAGTGTGCCCAAGTCTGCGTCTGGACCCTCCCCCGCGTCCGTCGTCTCCGACACCGAACCAGCCGCAGTAGCAGCAGTAGCAGCAGCAGAGAGAGAAAGACCAGTGTTGTTGCTGCTCGTCGACAGTGCACGAAGCAGCGGAGACTGCAGGCGCCGCATGGTCATGGCCCTCGTCACCGCGCGCGTGGCCATTGTCATAGTCGTCGAGTCTGTGCCCGCGTGCGTGCGATTGGCTACGAATGCGTTACAGTCGGGGCTGGTCAACCGCGTCGTCACTCGGCCAATCACGCGCTGCTAGCGAATTACACGACATTTTACGCGACCTGTCGAGTCACAGGTTCAATAAATCGTGCCATCGCACAATCGTCTAAATCGTCCAATGCAAACATGTATACATGCATACATCAATACCAATCTATCTATCTATTTATCTATCTATCTATTTATCTATTTATTTATTCACGTGCATCAATCAATTAATTGATTAGTCAGTCGGTCAGTCATCCAGTCAGTCCGTCAGTCTGCCCGTCCGTCCGTCAGCGACCTCTTTTGCCCACTTCCGTGCATACAGTCGTCCATACACTCACCCCACGACCGCACGACCCCACTCCCCGTGCGATTATTTTGGGCCCATTTCCCCCCAAAGCGTCCGGTGGTCGGCCACTTTTGGGCACACCGAATTTGACGGGGCGGTCGTTACGCTGGCGAACCCCACGCGCAAAGCGGCGCCCAGCAGCAGCAGCGCAGAGGGTATGCTGAGCCGCTGCTTCGCCGCCACGTGCTGCACGAACGACACGTCGGCCGTGACGGGGCACCACCGGCGGTCCCCAATGGACAGCGACGGCCACAGCCACAGCCACAGCCACAGCCATAGCAATGCAAACGCCGCTACTAACAACAGCACGCGGTCGAGTGCGCCGCAGCAGGTGCTGCTCGCGGGAGAGTACGTACAGCGCCGTCCCGTGCCGCTCACGTCGCCGCTCGCAGTGTTCAAGTCCCAACTCGAGGGGACTCAGACTCAGACGGCTCGGTCGCGTTCCCCTTGTCGCGCTCGTCTGCCGAGTCAAGAGCTGGTGCACGCACCGAAAAAGGTGCAGCAACAGGTTACACGACGAGTTGAAGACGAAGACGAGGACGACGAGTGTCTGCGGGCACAGACGCGACGGACGAGCGACGACGAGGTGGCGCACGAGACTCGGGACGTGTCGATGGTGTTTGACGTCGAGCCAGCAGCTGTGAAACTGGGGCGGGAGATCGGCAGAGGGGCGTTCTCAATCGTCTACATGGGCGAGTACCGCGGACAGCACGTGGCGGTCAAGTGCCAGCCGAAAGACGCCGAGGGGAAGGTGCCGGTGTTTGTCATGCGGGAAGTGGAGATGCTGCGGCTGCTGCACCATCCGAGACTGTTGCGGTTTACAGGAGCTGCAAACGACGTCCGTGGCAAGCAAGTGTGGATCTTGAGCGAGTACTTGTCCAACGGAGACGCCGACTTGTTGCTCAAGGCTATTCGTAGTGAAAAGATGACGCACATTGGCTGGCACGCGATGGCACGGATGGCACTAGATACGGCACAGGGTATCGAGTATCTGCAGCAGCGACACTTTGTGCACCGCGACATCAAGTCGTCGAACATTTTGCTGGATGACCAGTACCGTGCCAAGCTCTGTGACTTTGGCTTCGCGATTAAGATCGAACCTGTCGAGGCTGTCACACACGGAGGAGCTGATGTCAATGCTAGTCAAGAGAATCGTAAATCATATTGCGGCACGGACGCATACATGGCGCCAGAGATGTTCTTGAACGAGGACTACGACCAGAGCGTGGACATTTTCAGTTTCGGCGTCGTGCTCATGGAGATGTCGTGCTGCCGTGTGGCCAACTCGGATGGTTTCTTGATGCGCCTTCCACAGCAAAAGTTCCAGGTGTCGTTATCCGAGTTCCGTGCAGCTCTTCCGACTTCGTGTCCTCCAGCGCTTGCAGCCCTCGCGGAAAAGTGTGTGTCATTCGAACCGAGTGAGCGGCCAAACATAGCGACTATCGTGCGAACGCTCGAACGTGTGCTGCAAGACACCAGCAGCATACCTCGAGGCGTTGTCGACCTAGTTCCGTTCACGCCTGATGACCGTGAGCTACAAACTAAAGAGGACGATGATGCTTACTATAGTGAGGATGATGATGGTGAGAGCGAAGGCGAGTGCGAGGATGAGGACAACGAAGAGGAGGGGGAGGGAACTGACGAGGAAGAGGTCGAGTGCAGCAGCCTCAAGCTGCAGGAAAACGGTTGTCGGGGCACAATGAGCACGAAGGTGGGCGAAAACAAGGGCAGTGTGCGTTTGCAAGGCATCGGCAAGCGATTGCTGGAGGACAAGGGTGTTGAATGTCACACGTCAGTACAGTCCATCTCTCGAGGTCCTCACCATGAAGGAGTGATGCTCAAGCGCAGCCGCCGCGGGAAGCGTTCGTGGATGGAGAAGTGGTTCATTATCGATCACGACCAGCTACGCTACATGGACGTTCTACCGCGTGGGCAGCAGCAGTATCATGTGGGGAGGCGTCACACGCTGCCATCTACCTCATCGCTGTCACTGTGTGGGTGTCGAATCTGGAAAACGACGGAGATGCCTGACCTGCAGTTCAATGTGATCGACAACAACTGGAAGATCAAACGCGAGCTCCGAGCTCTGTCGAAGCGTGATCTTGACCTGTGGACCGAGCTTATAAACCAAGCCATCGACTACGCTAACGACCTCCATGCGCGTGACCACGACGTGGCTAATGGCAGCACGACCGAAGCAAGCGCAAGTAGCAGTAGCCCGAGTCGGCCCAGTCGAAACAGAGCTCATACACTGCATCTACCGGTCCAAGAGCTGTCCAGGCGGCCAAGTGTCGCATCGGATGCTACAGCTTTGCCGAAGCCAAGGCGCCGGAGTAGCGCTGCGAAATTTGGTGTACCGCCAGAATTGCCCGAGACGGAAGAGGACTGTCTGGATGAAGTCTACATGTGGCTCAAGCAGATCGGCTTCCAGCGGTATACGCGCATGCTGAAAGCAAAAGGCTTCGACACACTCGACTTCATTCGCGAGGTGCGCTACTTTTGTTTGTTGCTGCATTGTGCTTCATCGTCGTTGTGCTCACTTTTTTCCTGCACGTACAGACTGGTATTGAAATGGAAGATTTGAATTTCGTGGGCATCAAGGAGCCCGTAGCTCGCAAATCGATTCGCTCGGCAGCTAGAAAATTGCGCGGCGACGACGACGATGATTGACTGACTGATTGATCGATAGACTCGGCGGGCGAGATGTTCATTGCTGTGGTTGGTGACGAGCGTACTCTGTGGGGCCTGTGTATGAAGGTTGGTCACCACGATTTTTCCTTAACGTATAAGTATGCCGCAAACACCTCCACACGTCGCTCATTTTCGTCCATTCTTAGCGCTGCCTTTGCTACAAATGCGCACCAGTACCACGACGCAAGCCCTTGTTGACGTGTCTATCCTAGCACTCGCCTCAGCAACAAACAGCGCAGTCTACCTAACAGCAGTGCATATGAAACCGAGGCAAAAAGCAAGCGCCTGTGCATTCATCGCAAAAAGCTGGCATCGCAGCCTATACCACATACAGCAAACCCTACACCAACGATGCATTGGATGTCAAACCGTCCTCGACACCCGTGAGCAGGTTGCGTAGAAAGGTCTCCGTCACGCGCGTATAGTTAATTATTTCCGAGCGGTTCATCTTGTCGAGCGACATCTCCAGCAAACCCGTCAGATGCTCGGCGTTCTTCTCCAGATTCTCTTGCAGGTATTCAAACAGATTCTTCTCCTTCCCGAGAGGCAGGTAGTAGCCAAAAACGTACGTGTACTTGAGCACTCGTCGGCATTCAATCAGCTGCTCCGTTGCTGCGTTCAAAAACTGCACGTCGATCCATGACGAGTCGCCGTGACTAGCCTGCAGCTCGATCATGCGGTTCTCCGTGCCTTCACGCATTCGCTGCGCGAACTTACCAGCTTCCGAGTGGTTGGCGTAGCGCTGGTAGTAGTGAAGGTATCTATCGAGCTCCGCCTTCGCCCGTGCCGCGTCCGTGTCAGCAGTCTCTGCATCTGCGTCGTAACGGTTGCATTTGTAAAAGCCACCCGTACCCGACCCATGCTTGTCCCATCCTTCCATGCATATCCAGCAAAACTCGTAGTTGCAGCTGCGGCATGTCATGTGATTGCAACCCTGATTCTTTTCGATGCGGACAGAGCACTTGGGGCACTTCTTCGTGTTGGCCAGTATCCAGTTGGCTGTCTCAGACTCGTTGCGGCATTTCTCCTGCCACGAAGCGAGCTGGTCGCACGACACTGGCGCGTGGGCCTCTTCGCCACAGCGTAAGCAAAACACGCATCCACATGTGCACGTCACTGACGACAAGCCACCAGCGCTGGTGATGGCCTTGCTGCAGCCAGGTGACGGGCACCACTTGACGCCTTTGTTGATGTCCACGAACGATCGTAGCAAGTAGCGCGCATACTTGAGATAGTCCTCGGCATCCACGATCTTCTGAAAGATCGACTCACTCACCACCTGGACCCGACAACAACATGCGTGAGTAAACAAAGTGACGTCACAGTGCTCACGACTCAAGGAACCCCACTCACCTCCTTGCACCCGTGTGCAGGGCACGTCGTGGTCACGCATATCGGCCCTTCTTGGATCTTCAGTGACAGGTACGGTTTCCAGCAACCGAGGCAGTACACGTGGCCACAGCCCATGCCAAACACGTCGCCCGCCATGTACTCGTCGCAACAGATTTTGCAATCCACCTGCACACGGCCACCACCAGCAGCATCAACAGCATCAACAACAGCAGTTTTTGTTAGTATCAGTATATGAGTACACCCACATCACACACGCCGTCTCGTCCAATCTGATAGCGTGTTCGTCACAGTTATGCAGTACCTTGGTCGATGCTGGAATCACGGGCGCCTGTTTGTCGGCAAACTCAACGCCCGCTTCGTGTTTCACCTTCACCGGGTCTGCATAGTATCCCTCAAAGAGCTTCTCCTTGTTCCAGCTAAAGTACCGCAGCAGCACTGAAGCTTCGGACGTCGAGATCTCCAGAACCTGAGCAATCTCGTGAATGAGCGCGTGTTGCTCCTGCAGAAGCTCCTCCTCGTCAATCACGTGGTACTCCTGCTGCTGCTGACTCCCCGCGTGGCCCAAGCCATTGTGGCTCAGCCGTTTCTTCTTAGCAGACGAGCCACGACCGAGCGGCGACAGCGAGTCGGCCGCGTGCTGTTTCTTGGCACTCTGCGGACTGAACAGCGCGTGGAAGCGGTCGGCCGCGCGGTCTGTTCGGCCGCTGTCGCGCTCCTCTTCGTATCGCTCCTCTACGTCGTCTTCTTCTTCGTCTTCGTCTTCTTCTTCTTCCGAGTACTGATACTCCTCTTCGACGTCACTGTAGCGGTATTCCTCGTCCGAGAGCGACGAGAGCGACGGATTGATAATGTTCGCGCTCATGTTGCACTGCTTCTAGACGACTGGACGCACTTCTCTGGGTACGATAAGATACAGGAGACAGCGAGGATGCAGATGCGGTGCTAAAGGTGGCGTGACGGGGAGCACAGCGAGCGCTACGCGATCAGAGAGAGCGGCGGCTATCGAGCGTCGAGAGGCGGCGTTTTGTAGTCGAGGAGGAAAAGACAGAGAAGGCAGTTTTGCGTGAGCACGCGGGAAGACTATTTTAGAGCGATTTTGCGACGAATTGAGCATTCGGACCGACAAATTGAGCATTCGGACCGACAAATAGAGCCATTCGAGCGACAAATTAGATCGATGCGAGCGACGAATTAGCAAAAGAGAGCCTGTTTGGTCATCAAGTGGCTAAATATAGACAAACGAAATCGGCTTTCGAGTCGTCTCTCTGCGAGTCGCAAGCGGTTCGCAGCAGCTCGTGCTTTTTCGTTCTTCCAGGACTGAAACTGAACGTGTCCGAAGTGGACTATATATCTGATACAACGCTAGCAGTCTGTAGTTGTAGGACGCGCTTCTCCTGCACCCGTCGTAACACAGCATTGTAAAACAGTATCGCGCGGATGGGTTGGCGTCCCGTGCTTAACGCCATTTCGACCACTCCCTCGTCCGGATGAGTGAGTCTCTCCAGCCACAACGATCATGACAGCAACGAGACACCTGACCTTATAGTGCCCTCGCGGTGTGCGGCCGTGCGGGTTGTCCTGCCGCGAACACGGCGTACGAGTGCGACTTTTCGCCACTTGACGAGCAAAAGTTTCTCGAGATCGAGCAACGCGCTCCGTTTGTCTCGGACGTCCCAGTCGCTTCGCGCGCGCTCGTCCCGAAAGCACCGACCGAGAGAGAGAGACATGTGGGCTCTCTCTCTCCTCCTCTTGCCCTGCGCGGTCACTCGATCGGTCGTCCATTATCACGCAAGGTCGCAAAACCGAGGTCAGCGACCGCTACTGTACTGACTGCATCGAAATAGAAGGAAAATCAATCCATCTGCGCTTTTGTCAACGCTCACAATACCGATACCAGCCGTTATACGCGGGAGCTGTTACGACCAGCAGCAACTTCAACGCGCTTTGCACAGCGGCAGTCAGTAGTGGGGGGTTGTTGTTTGTAGCTTCGTATGCTGCTCTTCTTCTGCAGTCGCTGGTCGAAGGTGCTCGTGCTCTTTTTACGACCATAAAGGGGTCCTACAGCCGAACTCTTACCGTCGCAGAGGCGATCGATCACTTTCCCATGAACAAGTGAAGCAGCCACTACGGAGCTGCTGAGATTTGCACTCGACGTGTGGTCAGGAGGAGCGACGTGTTTCTATCCGAGCACTTCGATACGAGCGACACCGTACCCACTGTCGACGTCGTCTCGCCGTTTATTGCTACTTCCACTCGACAGCGCTCGACTCCCGCTCGACTTCGTGCCCGACCGGCCGGTCGGTCGGTCCGTTCGTTCGTGCAGAGAGCGGCCACGCCGGCACACTGCCGCTCGCTCGCACGCGGTCCTTCCCATCGTCACTCTCCCCTCACTATCGGCCATCACTTTGCTTTTGTCCATATCGTTCCGACCTTCACGCGCGCCACCACCACCAAAAGCGTCCGTCTCTGACGATGGGGACACCCCGATCCCGCACCACCGCATCGTCATCCGCGGCGGCGGCGTCGTCGTCGTCCAGCGCACGCAGCTCTGGCGTCGAGTGCATCGTCGCGGGCGTCGTGTCGGGCTGCGTCACGCGCTCGTGCACGTCGCCGCTGGACGTGCTTAAGATCGTGATCCAAGTGAAGGGACCGGCCGCGTCGCCGCCACGTGCCACTCCACGTGCGCTCGTCGCCAGTCGCGCACTCGCGTCGCAGTCGTCGTCGACGTCGTCGGCCATTGCGCGCACAGTGCGCGAACTGTACGCGCTCGACGGCGTGCGCGCCTTCTGGCGCGGCAACAGCGCCGGGTGCTGCCGTCTCGGGCCGTACGCGGGTCTGAAGTTCTATCTCTTTGACTCGCTCCAGAGCCGTTTTGCGGCCAAGGACGGCCACGGACTTAGTAACCTGCAACGTGCCCTGTGCGGCGCGGTTGCTGGTCTTGTGGCTACGATGGGCACGTACCCCCTGGAGGTCGTGCGTACCCGCATGATCCTGCAGCCTGGAGCGCCAACAGCTGCGACGCACGAGATCCGTGGGGTACTGCAGGGCGTGCAGCTGATTCTACAACGCGAGGGACTGCGTGGCCTCTACCGCGGCGGGTGGTCGGGCGTCGCGGGTGCCATTCCGTTCGAAGGCGTGCAGTTTGGCTGCTACGAGTACCTGAAAGCGAGTGCCGTTCACCACCAGTGGCCCGCGTACCGGTGGCCAGAGGGAAAGACCGAGATGGACGGTCTTGACTTTTTCGTGTGTGGCAGTGTCTCGGGAGCGATCGCACAGACAGTGGCGTACCCGTTCGACACGGTCAAGAAGCGGCTGCAGTCGCAGCAAGTGCACGTGGCTGGAGAAGCAGGCAGCGCGTCCACGCTGTACTACCGTGGAATGGTCGACTGCTTCCGCAAAGTCATTCGTGACGAGGGGCCTCTGGCGCTGTACCGCGGCACGGGCCCGAACCTCGCGCGCATTGTGCCGTACGCTGCCGTCATGTTTTCGACGTACGAGACCACGAAGAAGACGCTGCGGATCATGAGTGACCGCGCGTAAGCAAGAGAGAGAGGAGAGGAGAGGAGGAGGGAGAATGGGAGGGAAGAGCGCGGGCGGGTGTGCGCGCTGACAGTGTAGATGGCGTTATGCGTGTCGAGGGAGGAGGGAGAAAGAGAGAGCGAGAGAGAGAGGGAGGAGGGAGGGAGAGAGAGAGCGCTCGTCTCTCGATATTTATTTGTTGTAGTAAATGCTGTTACCACTACGAGGCCGAGCGTTCGGCGAGTTGCACCACGTGCCGCGCGTGCGTCCGTTTTGCATCTGTGTCTCGAGAGCAAAGCGTTTGTGTCATGGAAAACGGTACTGCTCCTTACAAAGTCAAGTGAAACACGCAACGCGGTGCGGCGGCGGACATGTCCGAGCAAATCAGAAAGGGAAAGACGCGCAAAGACAGACGAGTTTGCTGCAAGATCCTGCCCGGTCGGTAAAGTACGAATCGCCTTGCAGCTGCTGCGAAAACAGGCAGCGCAAAATCGTACACAACAGCCGCGCACACGCTCTGCTGTGAGTGAGTACCTCAGCGGTTGATATACGGCTTGAACTTGCTTTTCTCGCACGACATTCGCCCAATCAGCTGTAGTGGTGGTATCTCGTCCATGAAGTTATAAAGACACACATGTCGCCCACAGCTCGATGCAATCCACGCATTCAGCCGCACGATCACGTTCGCTCGCTGCATGTTGCCGAAAGATGACGACGTCTACTTAAATCGGTTACTGTCGTCTCTCCGTTGCTGGCTGCTTGTCCGACATCGCGGATACCTTCTATAGTGCGTGTACAAGACTCTGGTGACGGAGCTCTGGTCACTCATACGCTGTCGTGACGCGGCGATGATCGACTTCTCATCACGACAATTTCTTCCGCAGACGCGAATTTACTCACTTTGTGTGCATTCAGATCGAGCAGGTGTGTATACTGTAGTATACCCAACCGAGTCCTGTGCATGCTACGCAACGACCGCGAACGACGTGTCGAAGCTGGGACATAAATGGCCTTGCAATCACACTGCCCACGCAACAATCTCTACCGATGTCGCGACGCAGCCTCACGATGGCCATCGATCAATTCCCTGAACATGACAGATAGGACTCGACAAGCACTTGCTCTTTTTTGACGTACTCCAATGATAGCTACATCTAGATCTGTATACACGTGGTGCAGGCATGCCATCGATCGCACCGAGCGGCGGGCGTTCTCTGTCCCGATCTATGATTCCATGATTCGTCCGCGACCTTTTGTGGACCAATGAGTGCACCGTATCCGAGACAGGCGTCCGCCAAGTCACACCTACTGCCGCGAGTGCCTCAGTCGTAGTAGCAGCAGCAGCAGCGGCCGCAGCAGCAGTAGTAAAAAATCCACCTCCCCAGACGCAATCGTCCTTCTCGCCGCAGGTCATCATGGGGAACGTCGCCGCCAAAGAAGCGCCTGCCGCATCGCCGCCAGTTCACGCGCGCGACACGGCAACCAAAGCAACGTCAACACCAGCACCAAAAGCAACGTCAACACCAAAAGCAACGTCAACACCAAAAGCAACGTTAACAGAAACGGCAACCTCAGCAGCAAAGGCAACAGCAACGGCAACCTCAGCAGCACCCGCAACGGCAGCGGCAACCTCAACAGCCACGCCGCCATCTGATTCGCCACCCGCTGAGTCGCCGCCGCTGTTTCGCGTGCTATCGGCCGACCAGCGCGCCGTCACGTTCGACGAGCGCGTGCACCTGCGCGCCGGCGCACAAGCGCGCGCAGACCGCGTGACGCTCGGCCTCGATGCGCTTTCGGACTTCCGCCCGCTGCAGCGCGCCGCGACGTTCGACCCGCGTCTGCGTGCGCAGCGGAAGCTCTTGACGGCGTCGGACGTGCTGCACCGCCGCTTTTTCAACGTGCGCGAGCGCCGCGTGAGCGTGGGCGCCGACCGCAACCTGTTCCGCATCACAGAGGATGACACGGAGCGCCAGGAAGCGGTTGTCGTTGTCGACCCGTACTCGACCGGCATGACGCTGGCCGAGAAGGCCCTCGCGCGGGGCTACGCCTGTCTCTGCGTGTACTCGGACACGCTGGAAGTGACGCAAGAGCGCATTGCACACGTGCCGAAGCACGTGACCGCCAAGTACGGCGCGATCATCTACCACGACGGCGACGTCGCGCAGCACGACGAGCACCAGGCGCTGGCCGACACAGTCGCTGCGCTGCGTCGCGTCAAGCACGTGGACATTGTCGCAGTCTTTGCTGGCGCCGAGACGGGCGTCGTGCTCGCGGACAAGATCTCGGAGCGCCTGCAGCTCACGACCAATGGCACGCGCGGGTCGGCCGCTCGACGCAACAAGTACCTCATGGGCGAGAAAGTACGGGCTGCGGGTTTGCGCGCAGTGGCGCAAGTGCAAGCGACCAAGTGGTCGCAGGTCGAGGCGTTTGTGACCGCGGAGCTGGTGCCAGACGGCAGCGACGGGGCGTTTCAAGTGATTGTCAAGCCCGTGGAAAGCGCCGGCAGCGACGACGTGATGCTCTGCCGCTCGATGGACGAAGTGCGCGCGGCATTTGGCAACATCCAGGGCAAGATCAACGGCTTGGGCCTCGAGAACCAGGCCACGCTGGTGCAGGAGTACCTGGACGGGACCGAGTACGTTGTGGACACTGTGAGTCGCCACGGCGTGACGAAAGTCGTAGCGCTCTGGGAGTACGACAAGCGCGCGGTGAATGGCGCGCCGTTCGTGTACTATGGCGTCATGTTGCGCGCAGCGCCAGACGGCTCTGTGCTGGCCAAAGTGGTGGACTACGTGCTCAAGGTCATTGACGCGCTGGAGATTGCGCACGGCCCTGCACACGCAGAAGTGAAGGTGGTCAAGGGCGAGCCTTGTCTCGTGGAGATTGGCGCGCGCTGCCACGGCGCCTCTGGCTCGTACCTGCCGATCGTCACTCCTTGTCTCGGCTACAACCACGTGGACGCAGCGCTGGACTCGTACCTGGACGCTCAAGCGTTTGCAGACTTACCGGATCGCCCGAAAGAGCTCAAAGCTCATGGCTGTGAAGCGATGCTGGTGTCGTACGAGGCTGGCAAGCTCACGGGTTATCCGGGGAAGGACGAACTCGACAACCTGCCATCGACAGTATCGACGGTGTGGTATACGCACACTGGCGAGGAGCTAAAGCCCACTGTCGACATGTTTACGACACCTGGTAGTGTCATTATGGTCCATGAAGACGAAGAGCAACTGAACCGCGACTATGCACGCATCCGCGAGCTGGAACACGAGGGTCTGTACGAGCTGGAAAGTGAAGAGAACACTGACGCAAAGCCAGAGAAGGCCCATGGTACGGTGGTGGTGGTGGACCCTTTCTCGACAGGTGCGGTGCTGGCCCACGAACTCATGTCTCGAGGCTACGACTGCATTTGCGTGTACAGCGATCGTCTGGAGAATATCGAAACCGTGGCAAGTTTGGTGCCGGAAGGACTTACGCTGGAGTTTGCAGCGACCGTCGCGTACGAGGGCGACTTTGAGCAGACCATGGACACCATTCGCAAGGCTGCACAGCAAGTTGCAGATCGGCAGGTGAAGGGAAAGGACGGTTTGACGGCAGATGCTTCGATCTGTGCGGTATTTGCTGGCGCGGAACTAGGTGTGAAGCTATCGGATACGATCACGGATACGCTGGGGCTGAAGGGTAATCCGTTGGAGCACTCGAACGCGCGACGTGACAAGTACCTCATGGGTGAGACCTTGCGCGCTGCCGGTATACGGGCTGCGAAGCAGGTGAAGGCAAAGACTTGGGCCGAGGCAGAAGCCTTCATCACACAGGATCTGAAGCCAGAGCCTTTCGAAGTGGTGCTGAAACCGTTGGAGAGCGCAGGCACGGAAGATGTGGTGCTGTGTCTATCGATGGACGAAGCAAAACGTACTTTTGACGGCATCCTCGGCAAGATCAATGGCCTTGGACTCGAGAATGACGCAGTGCTGCTGCAAGAGTACCTGGAGGGCGACGAGTATGTGGTCGATACGGTAAGCCGGAACGGAGAGCACAAGGTGACTGCTATCTGGAAGTACGACAAGCGCCGCGTGAACGACGCTGCATTTGTATACTTTGGACTAGCATTGGTGCCTGCTGAGGGTATTGTCAACGAAATGATTGACTATCAGTTTCAAGTGCTCGGTACGTGCAGCGCTTTTGACATCGCGAAGGCTTGTAAACTGACGTCTTTGTGGCTTTTGCGTTGCTTTGCTTTGCTTGATAGACGCACTGGGTGTTTGCAACGGACCCGCCCACGGGGAAGTCAAGTTCTGCCGCGGCTCTCCGGTACTGATCGAGGTTGGCTCTCGCTGCCACGGCGGCGAGGGTGCATGGGTGCCCATTGCTAATATTTGCGTGGGCTACAACCAAGTGGCTGCGGCTGTCGACAGCATCTTGGATGGAGAGGCATTTGCGAAGCTGGCTGATCGACCACGGGAGCTCCTTGCTTACGGTTGCGAAGCCATGCTCGTGTCGTACAAGAATGGTATGCTGAAGAGCACACCAGGCATCACGGAGATTGAAAAGATGCCAGCGTTTCTCAAGAAGGAGATCTTTGTTGCACCGGGAGACAGAGTGCGTCAGACGGTCGACATGTTCACGACACCGGGCAGCATCATGCTCACACACAAGGACCGTGACGTACTCGAGTCTAGTCTCGCACGCATTCGCGAGCTCGAGGTGGATGGACTGTTTGAGGTGGAGTAGCGTGCTGCAGAACGAGAGCACAATGACACAGATGCATCACAAAGAGGCACGGTGTGCGCGCGCCTCTTTCCGTTCGTATTATGTAATCGACTCGATTGTACTGCTTTTGCCTGCAAGGCGGACCTCGACCACCTGACGCTTGTCGTAGTCGCAAACGCTACCGCGTTCTTCAAGACTGACTGACGTCGTATGTGTATGATGAAAGTAATCCCATTACGATCGTGCCTTTGCGCTGGAAGTTTGACCACGAACCGAGCGCTGGTGCTTAGTTGCCCTCGTCATCATGGGTCGGTGGCGTATCTCGTTCACGCGTCCTGCATTTGCAAATGCCACGTCAGTTTGTTGCTCCCTTGTGAGTAGTCTCGAAAGACAACGAAGTCATATTGCGGTAACATCTTTGGCGCGTGCTTCGTACTCCTGCAAACGTCGGCTGATGACTACCTACCACCACAGCCGGAAGCGTACCCACTTCTACAGCGCGCAACTGTAGAGAAAAGAGTCACAGCTGCAGCGGTAACACGAGTCTGTCAAATTTGTGTCGCGTTTGCAGGCGGGCGACGCCACTTGACGTTCGATCCATTTCTCACCAACATTTGCTGTTTGCAGTCTCGACTACGAACGTGTAGCCAAACGTGGCGATCGAGTGAACATGGCTACATCGCGTCGATGGGTTCATTCCCGCCAATAACCAGCCAATCCTCTTCCTCCGTTCTGCATCCACACACTCTGGCGAACAGAGTCATGATGCTCCGCGTGCAGCGCTGTGTACGTGCGTCTCCCACGCACTTGCGGCGTCCCCAGTACTCGGCAAGCACTGCGTCTACTGCCGCTGTGTCTTTGTCTCCCTCTTTCAAGTCAGCGTGCGCCAAGCCGTCGTCTGGAAGCGACAATAGTGGCGAAGAGCCGCCCAAGTACAAGCCTGGCTGGTTCAGTCGCAACCCGGGCGTGACACTGGGCGGAATCCTCTTGGGTATCGGCTTTTACATCTACAGGGGATCGAAGGGGAAGAAGAACTTTGAAGCAGTGCAGAACCCGATCGTTGAGGCGGCTGTTATCTCGCCCTACGAGGCCTGGGAACTGCGCAGTAGCAACAACATCACGTAAGGACTGGACGAGGCTTTACAACGACTGCTTGTACGAGTATCAGGGGCACTGATACTGTCTGGTGGGGATGATGTGTGTGTGTGTGTGGCACATGCAGGCCCGAGGTCTTTGAGGATGTGAGGGATGGAGCGACACGAGTGTTCCCAGCGGGCAAGGCCACGATGCGGCACTTTGACCAGTACTTGGGCTTCAAGCTGGCCCCAGTGTGTCCAACAGGATTGAACAAGGCGCATCATCTAGAGCGGGTCTTGCTGAGTCTACACACGGACACGGACCGCAAGAGTGACGTTGATGCGCAGCTCGTGGCCTTCTCGATGGCTGTCAAAGGAGCAGTGGACGAGCGATTGCGCATTCTGTTCAACTTGGCGACAAATGCGCCGATGGGCGAAGCGCTCGAGACAAGTAGCGAGGACGACGAGGCGCGTGACGGCAAGACGGAGGAAGAGGCAGACGCGCGCGAGGTGTCCCAAGGCCAGTTGGAACGACTGCTCCACCTGTTGCTAGAAACGCACCAGATTCCGTCTGAGAAGCGCGTGCTAGCGGTCGAGGACGCCAAGTACCCCTTCCAAGAGTACACTGCGGCGACACCGAGCGATCTGCTCAAGGCTGCAGTACAGGCTCAAGTGAGTGACAAGACGATCACCGAGGAGCAAGCACGAGGTCGTCAGTCGTACACATTCGAGGCCTTTTCGCAGCTCATGCGTGGCAAGACTGTGTGTCTGTGGGGCGAGTGCTTTGCCAGCAGCAAGAAGAAAATGAAGAACTAGCTACCTGCTATTGCTACTTCAGCACACACATACGCACACGCACGCACACACATCAAACAACACCGACTCCCCCCGTCGTCGTCTCCTCCGTCCCCGACCCCCTCGTCACGCGTGGCCCCGTCACTTTCGGGCGCTACGTCTCCGCGACGCTTTCCGTGCCGCCCGTCGCTGTCCGAGCGCTCTTTGTCTCCACCTGAACCAATCGCATCATCGGATGCGACTCGACGTCGTTCATGCCCTGCAACGCTGTCGCCGCACTGTGACGCAACTGGTGGAACTGCTGCAGACGCACGCGCAGCGTCCGCGTCGCGCCGTCCGACGTCTGGAGGCGCAGCAGCACGTACGTGTCGGCCTCTGCCTCTGCTTTCACGCACTTGTGGTGCAGCTGCGCGACGCGCGGCAACGAATGCGTCGAGCGCTGCGCATCGCGCGTCAACGCGTCCCAATGGCCGCGAAGCAGCTGGCGGAACGGCAGCTGAAAGGCGTCGGGCAGACTCTGGACCAGCGCCTGCTGCCGCGTGCGCTCCCAGGGCGGCAGTGTTACTTCACCGACCGCTGCTGCTGCTGTTACTTCAGGAAAGAGGAACGTCAGGCGGTCCCGCACGGCGACTTCGATCAGTGGACGAAGCACTACCGCGAGCGCTACGAGCGCCTGTCGCTCGGCAGCAGAGACGGTGTCCACCGCGCGCGCCGCTGCGGCGTCGTCTCGACAGTGCAGCGCGACAGCGAGTTGCATGGCCGTGGCCAAGTGGCGGGCGACAAAGGGCTCGTGGCGGTCGCGCAGGAGGAGCGCGTGCCACTCGCGCGCAGCAGCGAGGAAAGCGGTCATGGTGCGCACTTAATGACCGCGCTGGGCGACGGTGCTAGCGTGCCCGACCAGAGCCGACATAAGGCGCGTGTTGCGTCGCTGGAAACGGACAAAGTCCGTGTTAGCTGTGTGGGGTGCGGATCGGATCGGATACGAAACAGGATAAGGTGGATCAGTTCACGCACCCACGATAAGTACAGACGTCATAGATCGAATGAAAAATGGTCACTTGTCGAACAAATGGGGAAGGTTTAGGAGGAGAAAATAGGCACTCGGCACAAACGCAACGATTGATCGAAAAGTGGACAATATTAAGACGGCAGATTGTGGACTGCAAGCGGACGCACGTTGCCAGATGGATCGTGTCTACACATGCTTTGCCTCATGGTAACCTTCCGCGATCGGTCAATCTTTCTTGACGGCATTTCACTCATGCGAAGCGCACCCTCGATGCAGTCCACAATTCCTGTCAGACAAACGCTGCATCACGAATTCTGGACAGTGCTACTCAAGTATACCACTTCGACTGCAACACCACAATCACACCTTCGGAGAGACCTCACGCGGGTGACGGAACGGTAGCGCATGATGCTATCGACGATCAATCAGTCAGTCCGCAGTCACGAGAAGAGAGAACGATATGCACCACAGGTGTTACATCCTATTTCCACAGACAGATGGCGCATTCGCGATCCAGTGCCGCGTAGCGTGATGTCAATGACACTACGCTAACTACGTGCAGAGAAATAAGGTTCAATCTGTATCCAGGATTTGGCAAAACCAGTTTCGCGTACGTTTTGCGATCCAAAGCAGATGTTGGCGTCCGCCAGGGCGAACAAGACGTCTTCTTGCCATTAGCCATCACGAGACATCTTACCGAGTCGTGTTTCGTAAACGTCGATCCACTCTCTCAAGTGTCGCTCGATCCGTACTTTGTAGCACGTCTAAACTAGCCTCTTGTCCTTAAGTTCGCCCAGAGACCAGCCTCCCGCCTCCGATCCTCCGTACTTTGCAATCCCCGCCCACAAACCTGTCAATCGGCATACACACGCAAACTCCGCTTCCCCACCCGACCCACACCGCTTGTCACAAATCGCAAAAGCACAATCACACAAACACACAAATCGCAATCGACCAACGGCATGGCCCGCAGCCGCTCGCGCTCGCGCCGTCCACGCAGCCGTCGACGACGTTCCCGCCGCTCGTCCTCGTCCTCGTCTTCTTCCTCCTCGTCCTCGTCCTCCTCCTCCTCTTCCTCTGTCTCTGCGTCGCCGCCGCGTAAAAAGGCTCGCAGCCGTCGCGTTAGCCCAAAGGCCCCACCTCCTCCTCGTACGACCGACACTCGTGCACCCGTTACACTCGCGCAACCTCCCGCTGTACCCACTTCCGACGCTCCCGTAGCTGCTCGTAAACGCACGCTCGACAATGGACGCACGGGAGGCGTCTACGTCCCTCCGTTCAAGTTGGCGCAGCAGCTCAAGCTCGAGCAAGAACGCGCCCAAGCCCAAGCCCAAGACAAGGACTCAAGTGCAGCGCAGGAACTGCTGACGCAGCGACGGACGTGGGACGCGCTTCGCAAGAGCCTCAATGGCCTCATTAACAAGGTGAACGTGGCCAACCTGAGCAACATTTTGCCCGAGTTTTTCCACGAGAACCTCGTCCGCGCGCGAGGTCTCTTGACCCGAGCGATCATGAAGGCCCAGCTGGCGTCGCCAGGCTTTACGCACATTTACGCAGCGCTCGTGGCCGTGCTGAACACGAAGATGCCGGAAAACGGCGAGCTGCTGGTCAAGCGCGTGGTGTTTCGCTTCCGTCGGGCGTTCAAGAGAGGCGACAAAGTCGTGGCGATCGCACTTGTGCGGTTCATCGCGCACCTCGTGAACCAGCAGGTGGTGCACGAGCTGCTGGCGCTCGAAGTGCTGACGCTGTTGCTGGCGAACCCGACGGACGACTCGGTCGAAGTGGCGGTGAATTTCACCAAAGAGTGTGGCCAGATCTTGGCCGAGTTGTGTCCAGAAGGACTGCGTGCGATCTTTGAGCGCTTTCGAGGTATTCTCCACGAAGGTGAGATTGACAAGCGTGTGCAGTACACGATCGAAGGGCTGTTTGCTATCCGTAAGGGCGGCTTTGCCGACTACCCGGCGATACACGAACCCTTGGATCTCGTCGAGTCTGGCGACCAGATCACGCACGAGACGACGCTGGAGGAGACGATTGACTGCGAGGATAAGCTAGACGTTTTCCGCTTTGACCCGGACTATGAGAAGAACGAGCAAATGTGGGCTGCTATCAAGAAAGAGATTTTGGGTGAGTCCGACTCGGACGCTGGCTCTTCCAGCGGTAGTGATGGTGAAGAGGACGACGACAATGGAGACGAGGCCGAGCAGCCAGTGGCTGCCGAGAACAACATGTCGATACGGGACTACACAGAGCAGGACCTTGTGAATCTACGCCGTACGATCTACCTGACCATCATGTCGAGCATCACGCATGAAGAGTGCGCACACAAGTTGATGAAGCTCAATATTCGCCCAGGGCAAGAGAAGGAGATATGCTCGATGCTCATCGAGTGTTGCAGTCAGGAGCGAACGTACTTGCGTTACTATGGACTGCTGAGTGAGCGGTTCTGTCTGATCAAGCGCGAATACCAGGACGCGTTTGATGAGTGCTTTGCGGAACAGTACTCGTTGATCCACCGTCTCGAGACCAACAAACTGCGCAACGTGGCAAAGCTTTTCGCTCACTTGCTGTTTACCGACGCTTTGCCCTGGACTGTGTTCGAGTATATCCATTTGAACGAGGAAGAGACCACATCATCGAGCCGTATCTTCATCAAGATTTTATGCCAGGAGCTCTCAGAGCATCTTGGCATGAAGACACTGAAGGAGCGTTTCTTGGACACGATCATGCAGCCGACATTCGCTGGTCTGTTTCCGACGGACAACCCGCGAAACACTCGCTTTGCCATCAACTTTTTCACATCGATTGGACTAGGCGGTCTTACAACTGACCTGCGCGAGTATCTAAAGAATGCACCAAAGATGATCATGGAGCAGGCGAACGCTGTAGCTGTCAGCAGCGGCTCGGACTCGGACTCGAGTGATGGCAGCAGCAGCAGTGACAGTGGCAGCAGCTCTTCCCATTCGGACTCTAGCTCGGATTCAGATTCGTCCAGTAGCAGCAACTCGTCCGATTCCAGCTGAGGATCAAATCGAAACAAGCATAGAGGAGGTGTGCATTTCCAGCCAATGCAAAGCATACAGATGTGATGCGCACGCTGCGTTTCCTCATTGACTAAGTCGTTTTTCGATGCTGACCGATCAAGATGAACAATCATCTAGCGATTGCTAGTTCTGCTTCCGATACAAGCAGGTCGATCGAGACCTGTCAAGTGTGTTCCGTGCTGACGTGCAGTGTTGTGGCACTTTGACAGCTTCGCCACACAGTATCCACTGCATTACGCCTCGACACACTGCGCTGCTCATCACCGGATTCTGACCATCGACTTTCGTCTCTCCTCTGATACTGCTCGATCGAAGATACACCGGTTCATTGTCATATAGCGTTAGCAAGAGAGACGTTGAACGCAGACCGAATCAAATGTCGCAACGACGACGATGGGCCTCGCCAAGATTGCCCACATCCGCGTTGGTTGGTATTCATTTGGCAGGTACAGGACGGCGACAAATGGCCACCGGTCGAGGGCCTAACGAAGTCGAGTACGCGTCTCGTAGCAACACAAATGTACGCAGCTGGACACAGTGTGTAAAGCGTAACTACGGCTGAAGCTTTCAGTAAACTTGAGAGAGAGAAATCGAGGCCGAGCTTGTGTTACGTAACGTGCATTTCCTCCATTCTGCCAGTGTCGTTGTAGCGAGACTTTGTTCGCGTCTTGGTCGTGACGCTAATGGCGCAGTGTACAGAAGTACGCGATGGAGATACAATTGGTCGCGGCAGTCGTTATGCTCCGCGTACGCATCAGTATTCCAGCTGTAGTGTAGCCTGCAGCAAAATCAGAGTACGTCGTCGATCGTTCATCACACAGCACTCAGTACGATGCCAATCGTTCTTGCCAGTAGTCAGTAGCATATCAACGTCTCACCAGTGTTATTTGAGGTTCCCGTGCAGCGTTATCGTCGATAGTGATGGACCGAATGCGGTGATCATCAGAGTACCCAAGAGCGAAGATGAGTGTCATGCGTGGAGACTTAGCGGGGAATGCAACTGCCACAGCGCCAAACCTGCAGAACGATTTACTGTCGTGCGACGCGAGCGTGAGAGACAGTCATGATGGATCAGGGTTTGTTGAACCGCTAGTGGTGATCGAATCGAGACAGCCATACGCCAAGTTGGGCACGGGAACGGGAACTTCGCAGCAAGAGAAGGGAGTACGCAAACATGCGCTGGACGTAGTGTCCGTGGCGACAACAACACCAGCAACAGAGGATTCTAACGCGCTCAAGTGGCGAGATGTGTGTCCCAAAAACAAGGAGATACATCTTCGGAACTGTCGGCGCAACAAACGCGTTTTCGATACCAGAGAACATGGGCCGAGATGTGGCATCCGTAGAAGGAACTCACCTGTCCATCCTTAGGTCGTTCGGCTTCCGAGTGACTAGAGGTGATCGTCGACAAAGATGTTCTCAGGTACATCGTTAAACATTCTTCTCGAAAGCTAGCGAGGCTTCATTCAACGATCGTATGCTGCAGTGGAAGGTTTGTCAATGTTTCCAGGCATCGAACGAGGTACATCCAGTCCAGAGATGAATCCATCTTGGCCAGCAATGTCGTACGTGCAGTTTCCAGCAGCGACGCATGCAAGACATTGCAAGTGAAGGCGATACAATGCCGCCATCAACAGCTCAGCGATCGACATCGTCGTCAAAGTCGTCGTACCGGGCAGATACATGGTGGCGCCAGGTCCATGCAGCGTACAGCAAATGGTGTTTGAAGGCACGCTTCGACAATCTTGCCCGGTGTCCCATGACTGCCAGCTACTTTGCTGAAACACGAGTCAATGCGTCGCTCGACTTGTTGGCGGTTGTACAGCAGCTCGAGCTCGCAGTGAAGCACTCGCAGATCGACTTTCGCTGCCAGAAGTTGCATGGCCACTGGTGACCGAGCAAAGTCTTTCTCCGTAGTCACCACGACTAAGCTCTCAAAGCGCTGGATCTCACGCACGCGTTCCAAGAGGTCGTGCACGTCGCCTTGGGAGAACGCGTGATGATCAGGGAACGCTCGCAGCTCCACGTGAGCCCAGCGAGCCCATTGTTCCACTACTCTCTTGACCGACTCTGGGTTCCCGACACCGCAAACGATCAACCCAAAGCGACCATCCACGCACACGCGGCCGTCTCTCTTCACACCAACATGCTCAAAGCTGTCACCACCACTCGTTGGGCTTGACAGGACCTCGTTGACGCGAACCAGTTTCGTGACTTTCATGTGTGACGTAGCAACAATCGGCCGTCGTCTCGGGTCCATCAGGCGTCGCACACTTCCCATGAGTTCGTGCACACGTTCCTTCTCCACGAACGTCGCATGGTGCAGTACGACCACATCAGCTCGAGCAAAAGCGTCGCGCGGCAGCTCCCGCAAACTTCCGCACGGCAGTAGCAGACCGTTGCCCAACGGACACAGCGCATCGACCATAACAATCTCCAGGTCCTTTGCCACTCGCCACTGCTGCAACCCGTCGTCCAGCACCACACAGCTCAACAATGCAGTGTCTTCGCCCAGTTCTTTGACTTTGGCAGCTCCAGCCGCCACGCGATCACCGCCCAACGCCACGTGACAAGTAGGAAATTGCTGATGGAGCATCCGCCACTCGTCGTCCCCGTAGCCGCGACTCAGTACCAACGGCACGCGGCCTTTGGTCTCCTGTTGCTTCAAGAGGTAGTGCAGTAGAAACTGCACGAACGGCGTCTTCCCCGTCGCTCCGAACGTGACGTTCCCTACACTCAGCACCGGGACGTGCGACGGAGCTACGCGCTCTTTGCAACTCGACTCGCGTTGGCGCTTGCAGGTGACGATCCAGCGGTAGATGCGGCTGAGAAGGGGCTGCTGTCGGTCCAGAAGGACGTCGACTGGCAAGTGCGTTGACCGCAGCGCTGCGACGACTGAGCTGTGCCACTGCCGATGCCAACGGCGCCACAGCTGAGCCATGTGGACACGTGAACAACGGGTGGCTGGACGGAACGGATCGCAGAGTGTAAAGCACGTGCCTGCACTTGGGCCAGAAGTTGCACTGCTCGAAGATCTCTTCTTCGCACTGCGCGACTGCCTTTGCTGCTACGCGACCTGAACGACAGTCTCGAAACACGTCTTGAGTCACGAAGCTATAGCTGCTGGAGCCAAACACAACTTACGCGGAGTCGACCACAGCCTACTGCGGTCCGTCTTGAGCGAGCAGCACAGCTCTGATGTTGCAGCAGCTTCTTCGTGTCTTGATCCTGCACTGCAATGCGAAGGCACCTCGACACAACACCCGATCGCCTTTCGGGGGCTTCGGGCGTCAAACGTACGAGTGCGTCTACGTCGGCGTGGCGGACGGTAGGAGCAAAGACTACGATCCCATCAACCAGACAAGACTTGAAGTGTCTGCGGTACACAACTCACAACTCGACATCAGTTGGACCGCAAATGAGTGCAAACACTTGAGCTGAGAAAGCGCCACCGCAAATGGTAACCACTGTGCATTGAACTGTAAGAGCACTACTGCCACCACCAAAGTCCGTGCGTACGACCGCTCGTCCTGGGCAAGACGTGCAGACGTTACTCGGCGGCTACCTTGGTCGCCTCCAGATCCTTGAACATGGCAATGGCCTCCTCCAGCGTCTTCGTGCCCGTCACCTTGTTGTCGCGCGTACGGATATTGACAGACCGCGTCTCTTGCTCTTGTGCACCCACCACAAGAATAAAGTTGTAGTGGTTCATCTGGCCCTCACGGATCTTCTTGTTCAGCGTCTTGCCACTGTCGTCAATATCCACGTCAAAGCCGGCGCGAAACAGTGCGTCCTTGACCTCGTACCCATAGTCAATGAACGCAGCGCCCACTGTGACGACGAGAAGCTGACGCGGTGACAGCCAGAACGGAAACTTGCCGGCATAGTGCTCCACTAAGACAGCAACAAAGCGCTCGAGCGAACCGTAGATGGCACGGTGAATGATCACCGGACGCTTGAAATTCTCTGCATCGTCCGTGCGGTACTTCAGGTTGAACCGGATGGGCAACTGGAAGTCCAGCTGTACCGTGGCGCACTGGTGTTGGCGCTTCAGTGCGTCCGTAATCATGATGTCGATCTTGGGACCGTAGAAAGCGCCGTCGCCTGGATTGACAACCCATTTATCGGCGCCAACAAACTCGTCCAGGGCTTCCGCGAGCTGCTTCTCGGCACGCTCCCACTGTTCCAGCTCGCCCATGGCTTTCTCAGGGCGCGTCGACAGCTCCAGTTTGAACTCAATGCCAAACACGTCGTACACGTACTTCATAAACGTCAGGAAATCCAGCACTTCCTTCTTGATCTGATCGTCGCGGCAGAAAATGTGCGCATCGTCTTGCTGGAAGCGACGGACGCGCGTGAGGCCCGTGAGGGCACCACTCAGCTCGTTACGGTGCAGCACGCCGCAGTCCGCGTAGCGGATAGGCAGCTCACGGTAGGAGCGCTGACGAAAGTCAAACATGAGCGACGCTGCTGGACAGTTCATGGGCTTCAGCGCATACTCCTGTCCCTCTACGTCAAACACAAACATATTGTCCTTGTAGTGCTGAGCGTGGCCCGAGATGTTCCACAACTCCATGTTGAAAATGTTGGGCGTAATGACTTCCGTGTACCCGCGCTCGCGGTACTGTTCGCGAATGAACTTGAGCAGTTTAAAGTAGATGGCCGATCCGTGCGGCAGCCAGAACCCGCTGCCAGGACTCAGTGAGTGGAAAAAGAAGAGCTCTTCGCTCACACCGAGACGACGGTGGTCCCGCTTGGCGGCCTCGGCCTGGAGGTACTTCCACTCTTTCATCTTGCTCTTGTCAGGGAACGAGATGCCGTACACGCGCTGCAACGCGTCGTTCGACGTCTTGCCGAGCCAGTACGCGCTCGACGAGCGCGTGACCGCGAGGGCCTTGATCTTGCCCGTGTGGGGCACGTGCGGTCCGCGACAGAGGTCAATGAGCGGGCCGCAGCGGTAGGCCGTGGTTTTGCCGCCGTCCGGGATCTTCGTGGCAATGATCTGCGTCTTGAACACATTGTCGGCAAACATCTCGAGCGCTTCGTCTTTCGTGAGCACAATGCGCTCAAACGGCTGCTTGTCCTTGACGACCTTCTGACAGGCCTTCTCCAGCACGCTCAGGTCGCTCTCGAGCACCGTGTGCGCGCCCATGTACGCGTCGTAGTAGAAGCCGCCCTCGACCGGCGGCCCGATCGTCAAGTGCGCGCCCTTGAGCGTCTCCAAACTCTCGCCCAGCACGTGGGCGCTCGAGTGCCAAAACACTGTCCGCCCCTCGGGGTCGTCAAACTTGAGCAGCTCCAGGCGGCAGTCGCCCACGAGCGGGCGGCACACGTCCCACAGCTCCCGCGCCGCCTCGTCCGGCACGGCACTGCAACAGGACCCAGCGGCCGCTCGATCGCTCGCTTCGTTGCCGTCCACATCGGCCGCCGCCTCGACGCGGAACGGGTCGTCGGGCGTCCCCCGGTACGTGACGCGGGCCACGACCACTTGGTCCGCGAGGCCCTGCGAGAGCGCGCGCGCCACGTCCAGCGGCGTCGTCTGCCACGCGACGCCGTCGACCGACGCGCCGTCGGGCAGTGTGACGCAGATGGGCGTCTCGAGGGCGGCCAGCGCCGCGAGCTGCTGCCTCTGCGCGGCCATAATGCGGTCGTAGACGGCCACGCGCGCGGCGACGAAGGGCGGCGACGGCGTGACGGTGAACGGGCCGCCGATCTTGAGCGCGCTCGCGGCGCCAGAGATCTTGGGGCCGCTCGCTTTCGTGAGACGCGTCTGCGCGCGCGCGGGGTCGGCGTCGGCGGTGGCGGTGCTCATGACGGGCGGAAGGGCAGCAAGTGGTGGCCGAGAAGAGAAGAGTGAGAGTGGATGGAGTGCGGTGTGAGGTGCGGGATTGGAGAGTGATAGAGGGGGAGGATCGTTAAATAGAGGGAATAGGGAAGAAGGAATGCGAGTGTTTGAGGTTGCAAGCGGATGTACGTGAGTGGTAGTGTTATGCGACGACGACTAGAGAGAGAGAGGAGGGGTTGAGTTCTGGATAAGCATCCGAGGCAGCAAGTAAGAATATTCTAGGAGGAGGGATGCACCCGATAGCGTCGCTTGCTCGCTCGCGTGCTGTATTGGACTTGCAGATGCTGTCACGAATACAGGACGTGTGTACTGACGACAAAGCACACCAATAGTCGATGATGGCGCACAGCTGTGGTCGATGGCGCCCGTCCGCTCTCATTGTCGTCGTTTATCTTCACACAAGCCGTTTTTCCAGGAGGGGAAGCGAGCAAATAGGTACACAGTGCAGCTACAGTCCGTCCCGTCCGTCGTGATCGTTCCCGTAAGTGTGTTTGCAACACGAGCGTCTGGTCTTCCCAACTTGACTCGTTCCTCTCTATAGCGACGCGAGCGCAAGCTGCGCCAGCAACTGGTGGACCTTTTCCTGCAGCTGGAGGTTCTCGCGGCGCACGCTCGCAAGCTCCGCGTGCACAGCGCGCAGCTGCTCGTTCTGCTCCTTTTGCAGCGACTGGAACGATGCGAGCGTGTCAAACATCTTCTCCCGTCGCGTTTCCAGCTCGAGCACACGCGCACGCAGCTGCTCTTTGTCCATAGCCTCTGTGATGATCCGCATAAAGACACTGAAGATGTCTGACTCATCTACATCGACATCGAGCAGCACAAACACAGAGGGTCAGCATCATCTCACGCAGAGTCAACCACTGTCTCCAGACAGGTCCATAGCAATATGACAAATGACGTACCGTTGGCATAGTCGTTGTCGACAATGTTGACGAGGAAGTACGTGTCGTAGATATGCTGAATGACTTGGTGCGATCGTGATCCTGCAGGGTACGCTGACGCCCATTGCGTCTGCCACAACTCGAACGCTTCGTCTTTCCACGCCGCAAACGAGTCCGAGTCGACGACTGTCGGCTGGACGATTTCCGTGCCGGGAAAGACGCCCCACGTAACGGCCGTGACGCTGTGCAGCGGCGTGTTGCGGTGCTCATCGCCCCGACGGTTGAGCGCGTGGAATGACAGCTGCGGGTAGTCTCGCCGCATGACTGTCACAAGGTGCGCCATCTTTTCAGGTGCGACAAAGAACTCCACGTATGCTTTCTGGAACACAACGCCGTTGTCGCCGCCCCAGCCAACGGAAGGATCGCTCGAGGGCGCTCCGTTCACGCGCGGCTGACTGTTGACCGTCAGGAAGCCATTGGCGTTCAGCCACTGCAGGTTTTCGCGGATCACAGCGCTCTCGCGCGACAGAGCCTGCTCGCACCACGGCAATTGCTTCACGTGACCTTCAATGAAGCGAACGAACACGTTCCAGATGTCTTGCTCGTTCTGCGGCGTACCCCACAGTTGCGTGCGCTGGACCTTTGGTCGTTTGAAGGCCAAATAGTACTCGGACAGCTCTCCATAGGCCGGACTTGTGCGGTCTCCCCAGCGTCCATTGGGAAACTCGTCCCACGCAGCAGTGCGCGCAATGTAACTCGCCTGACGATTCGACCAGAAGATCGGACGCACTTGCTCGCCCTCGACGGTCGAGCGCTGCAGCGTCGATTGCCACGGAAGCCCGCGCTGGTTCCGTGCAGGCAGCAACTGCAGCCCTTCCAGCACCTGCGTGACCGTCGCCGCCAGGTTCATCGTGTAGAAATGCAGCGAGTGCACTCCCGCGGCCAGCAACCGCTGACACGTCTCGACTGCAAGTTGCGTGCCGTAGCGACGCACAGCTGCGTCGTCGTTTTTCACCGCTTCCAGGTCCGCCAGCACTTGTTCAGGCACGCGGGTCTTGCACCAGCTCGTGAACTTGCGAAAGGAGCTGTAGTTCTGGATCGGCAAGTAGCCCGGCAGGATCGGAATCGTGATCCCAGCGTCTCGGCAGTCGGCGATCCACCGGACCATATTGTCCACGTCAAAGAAGAACTGCGTGATGATGAACTCGGCGCCAGCGTCCTGCTTCGCCTTGAGCCGCTGCAAGTCCAGCGCCCGCGCCTCGTTGGACGGCGGCAGGTCCGGATGGTTCCACGACTCGGTGTGCACCTCAGCGTACCCTGCACAGGCAATGCAGAAATAGTCGCCATGCTCCTCGCGAATGAGTGCAATGAGGTCCACAGCGTTGCACAGTCCGTCTTTCACGGGCGTCCAGCGCTCGGCGCCAATGGGCGGATCGCCTCGGAGCGCGAGGATGTTGCGGATGCCCGCGGCCCGCGCGTTCCGGAGGATCCGCTTGAGGTCCTCCGTCGGCAAGTGGCACGTGAGGTGCAGGAGCACGTCGAGCTGGAACTCGTTCTGCACGTGCGCGCCAATGCGCAGCCATAGCGCCTCGTCTTTGAACGCCGAGCGCCACGTCAGCGTCACGAACGTCGGCTGCAGCGCGAGGCCCATCTCCTCCACGCGCGTCAGGAGGTTGAACACGCCGGCGTCGGTCTTGGCCGGGAAGAACTCGAACGAGACGGTGGGCCGCGTGGCCGACGCGTCGTCTGCGCGCGCGGCGTACGCGCTGCGGATGGACTCGATGATTCTGCCCATACAGAGCGAGAGAGAGAGAGAGCGAGCGAGAGCGCCGCTCGATCGGTCGGTCGGTCGATGGCGCGGTGTTTGCCACTCACTCACTGGGTCGGCTTGGACGCGGCTGTTTCATGCTGCTTGAGAGGTTTGGTCGGACGAGCGTTAGAAATTGCGAGCTGGACGGTGGAATCGCTTTTTAGCTGATGTGCTTTTTTTGAACGGGAGGGAGGTACATGCCTGCGGTGACTGCAGTAGGGCGAGCACAGTGTCGTCTTCTGACGAGGTTGAACGAAACGCTTTTTAGGTTGGTCGGCGATGCAAAGAGCAATCGTTTGCTGCTGAAGGCATGAGGGCAGGTGAAAGAGTGGACTTTTTCCACAGTGGCATGTTCCTGCTCGTGCCGATAGGGTGGGTGGGGGGATGCGTGGAGGTTCTAGACAGACTTTAAAACAAAAGTTGCCTTGTTGTCTGCTCGATTAACGACTCATAGGTGCGCGCTTGCAAGCGATCGTCTCTCTATTTGCGTGGCATCAATGTGACAGGACTCCCACGTTCTATCGTCTTCCACTGTTCAGCGTTCGACTACAGCATCACCGAAATCGTACTCTGATTGGCGCTGTACCGCCGTGACAGCGTTGATCGCGTCCGCAAAGCAGCTATCCCGTATGAGCATTGCTTGCACCGTCCAAGAGCGACCGCGTGCTTTGCACAGTCATGTTTGCAAGTTTCGCTGCGCTTTACATTCGCATATGGATTTGTCCTTTCAATAATAGTGCTTCGCTGGGTAAAAGCTTTCTTAAGGCAAACCCTCAACCACTTCGGCTCCCGAAAAGAGGTTCCCACCGAAAGGACTGCCCGGAAGAGGAACTGAGGATAAACCTGACTGAAGCTTGACTGTGAAAATTTGGGGCGATTGCAGAAGGGGCTGGGAATGGCTCGAGGCGAGACTTACTGACCGGTGACGTCCCATATGGGCTCGCGAGAGGCGGGTCCGTTGTGCATCAATTCGTGCAAACTCAACGACGGACAACCACGATAAAGGGCGCCACTATGTGAAACTGGAGCTGAAGCGATCGGGCAATCAGCAGCACATCATGTCCGTCAAGGAGACGTGCAGCCGTCCTTCATGCACCGCATTGTTCTCATTCAGGACCAAGCTCGGTAACAATGACGGCGGCAATGTCCCGGTTGATGCATGACAATCGATCGAGATGTGTAATTACGTGACCGCATATACCGCCTCATCGGGATCATTCGACGACAGCTAGTGGCTCTTTCCGCGACGATCAATGATATTTCGTGGCCCAGGGGAATCGGGGCAGCCTGAAACAGGACATGTTTGTGGGAAATACAAGACATGCCTCGGCACTGATCAGCGTGGTGTTACCCGTTCCATAATTACGCTCGACATGGCAACATAGTATATCGCCGTGCCTCGACACTTCGGGTCTTTCTGCCTCGCCCTTACTTGCGAATTACCTTCGATCCTGTTTCGAGCTATTAACGTTGGTACTTATATCGCCCAGCGGCGGATCATCACAATCAAGACTGGAGGCTACACACATGTGGATCGAAGACCTCCCACTTCGACGTGGGTATGTCATGCGGCACCGCAAACGTCGATTTGATGATGGAGTGCGATGCAGTGCCACTCAACGTAGTTGATCTCTATCCTCGTCAGCTCCTATCCGGACTTCACTCGAGTATGCACCTACGGGAAGGCTTGTGCCGCTGACGGCCACACAGAAGCCATCTTAAGAAGCTCGTATCATGTATCATTCGTATATTCAGGAAACAACAACTCGATCAGCGGGCAACGAGACCAGCCTTTCCAGTGATGTTCACCAGTATCAAGGTGATACATTGAATGATCTCAGGCTAATTCGGGCAACACTTCCTACCAGTGCGCAGTCGATCTATTGGCTCAAAGCGACAGCTTACGCAGTAAGATCGGGCGATACGAGACATGTCGTACTCACACGACAAATCCGCTCCAGCCAGTCATGTCTTCTGTATCAGCCCTATAGCGCAAAGTACCGGGACTGCATACTTGCTTTGTGGCTGTGTCTCAGCACTTTGTAAAAAGCCGGTCAGCGCATTCGTATCTTTGGATTAGAACTAAGTGGCACACCGCACTTCACTTGGGACGAGATTCAAGCCGTACTTGGATGGACCGCAGATCCTTCTGTATCGCAGTCTGAAGGCTTTCCGCTGTGAGCGAGCTGTAGTGTTTTGTCGTTGCATCGACGCTGCATTCTATGTGGCTAAAGCGGCTCCGACGAATGAAAGACCTAACCATCCTTTTTTGAAGCCCAGATCTACAGGGCACGAACATCTTCGGCGCTCTAAAGCGCTTCTACAACTCAATCTACCAAGTTGGCGAGGAAGAAGAAAGACAGTATAGTTGAACATGTTCGGCCGCTGTTGACGACACTCTTCTCCTCTATGGTGAACTAGATTCGCTGCAACAGCTGCAGAGGGCGAACGCGCAAGTATAATCTAACAAGTATTCTTCGATGGTCGGTCTCATCATCATTCGGGACCGGGTGGATACAGATCCGCATCCATCTGGTCTAGGAGTCCGTGCTCCCAGACAGTGGTTCAAGCAGGCGAAGGCTGAGATTGGCAATGAGTGAGCCACTATGCTACTTGATTTGGACGCTAACGTTTCTTCATCGACACCGCCTTTGCTCGTAAGGTTGGGTGTTTTATCGATGAAAGTCAGAAACAAGCATGCATCGTGATCGAAGGAAAAGCGTACGTGGCTATGGGACGAGCTAATCTCAAGTCACGCTTTCGGGATCGCCGGTCTATTATTCGACGTGTGGTCTGGATAATAGTCTAGATAGAAAGCGATTCTCGATATGGCCATATGACACCTGCTGGAATTGGCTTGACCTGGATGGCAGGTCACAATTTCTGCCGATCAAAAGACGAATTTAGCTGGCGGGGTGACGTCCGATGTGTAGTGCTTGATTTCATATGATCACCTTGAGTAACCAACATCTCATGATCCCAGTGGAGGCTTGACAGAGGTGGAGATCGGTATGGGTGAACACACGAACAAACGGTGGGTGACAAGAAGGCCTAGCTAGGTGCCGACCGTAACTATCAGATTCGGGATAAAAAATATAAACGCCTGGCAAACCTCAGCACCCGAGGGGTCATCCTGATACCAGAATATACATTGGCCATGTGGATGGAATGAGGTGCAATACAGCAAACTCTACGATTTATTTTTTTCGAATCACGGCGATACAAAGAATGACAGAAGTTAGCGTACGAAGCTACGTGGATCGATATACCAATCCAACCAAGAAATCGATTGTACCACTCGTATAATGGCTCAAGCTTTTCAGACAGCAATCCCAATCAAGGCTCATCCGAATGGTAACGTAACTGATGTACTTATAGTGGGGTAATGACTACGCGAGAGAGGAAGCCGGAAGGTACGTGGAAGAAGAAGACACGAACGGGATCCTTAGCAATGATGAAGATAATCTCGATCTGTCTACTCCAGGAAGACCGTCATTAGAAGCAATAAGTTGCGATGCAGGCGTTTAGGAACAAGTGAATGGTTAATGCGAGAGCCATATCAGAGTAGGTTGATGCGCTGGAATGACCAGTAAGGATGGTACAGGCGGAGTAGCAGAAGGATCGGACATATGAAAATACCTGACTACTTACGTGTAAGCGGCGATACCCGTGATGAATGCATAGAACAAACACGGCTTTGCTGCCTAGGATTATAGAGTCCATGGAAGAAATGACGAGAGGGCATCTTTTTGTAAAAATACGCCTTCTCCAGATCCATATTGTATGGGTCTCTTACATCCCCCGATGTAGTTGTCCGGCCAACTTAGACATTGTCTAAGTTAGATTTGTCGAATACAATTGTCCTGCTCACTTAGATATTGTCTCAGTTAGATACTGTATAAGTGGGCTGGCCAATTCTATCATGGTATACAAGAAATCTATAGATCATGGATCTGTTATAGACGTCATTCTTATAGCAATACGATGCATCCGCAGCACGAGGTAGTAAGCGGGGCGGGACCGATTGCGCAGCCTGTTCGTCCGGTATCTTTGAAATCCCTGGATAGGGGTGTCTGGATAGGGATGTTGTTATCCGCAAAGATCATCTACCCATTCACTTCTTGCTGAGCGCCACTAATCGTAGTGATCAGCATGAAGAATGGTGTGGGTACACGACTCTGCATGATTGCTTATCGCGCAATCGATAGGCCGATACGGCTGATGGTGAAGCCATGCCTTTGTTCAGCAAATATCCAGAAGGCCCTAGCTATTCTTCTTAGTATTGCTCACTCTGGGCGCGGCAAGCGGTTTCGGGGTGGTCAAGATGATGGATCGAAAAGGGTTGTTTTCGCATATATCAACCCTCTTTGTTGTAACAACGCCCGCTTAAGCCTGTCCGACAATTCAATACACGGATACCTGGAGATAAGCACTGATCTGAAGACGAACGAACATAAAATGCAACTACGGTCGATATGACCCAAAACGGCGAACCGATACGGACCAAATTCGTCAATATTGGGTAGAGATTATATATTGACGACAATCTCGTTCCAGCAACGACGCGGGAGTTTCCCTACAAGTAGGTTGATGAGCAGTTAAAGAAATGCGATATATGGAAGTTGTGTACAACGAAAACGTTTGCGGACAGTGATAAAGGCTTGTTAGCGCGCCCGAAGACATGATGTTTTATAATCATCATGTCTACGTGAACATTGCTTGCGATGTAATCGTTTGTCGAAAGTTTGAATTACTATAGAACATTTCATCGAAGATGTTGATGTCTACGCAGCGGTGTCGTACGAGCTGCGAAAGGTGAAAGTTCGTGCGATCGGCTGATCTCAACTATTTACGCAGCGATCCGACAGTGGCACAGACAGTTCGACTGAGACAGGTAACGTGCGATCGAGTGTCATAGGCTGGTCTTCTGATACAGGGGGCGCGAGATCTGACGACGAAGACCGGTTTGCTGAGACGATGAACGC